GTAGCAGCACTCAGCCATGCAGGAGAGGAGTTTCTCAGCCCTGAAGCATGGATAGCCCACGGTTTCTCAATTTGGCTTTCGCAATGTGAACAAACTGCAGCTGTCCAGTTCTCAGACCTAAAAGGATCGATAGGCCATATTTTCACAATGTGCACATGGGGCCAAACACCGCATCTCCGGAGCGAGGGAAGTTGTCAGCAGGCAGCACAATCCCAACCCAAGCGTCAATCAACTGATCCTGCACGGCACTACCGTCGCCACGACAGCACTCGGAACCCTAGGCCCTACACTCCCAACTCCTTGATCCCCGGCGCACCTTCAGGTCAACTCGCTGGTCCCCGCCATCGCCAGCTGGATCCTGCCGTGTTCGGCAAGCATAAAACGCGTCTATCCGAAATTCGCTCAAAGCAGCCACAGGCGCAAGTGAGCACAACAAAACCCCGAACCCCCGGCCTCATGCACCTTCGACTGGCTGTCTTGCCCAGCTGGGTCCTGGCACGTCTGTTCGGGGCAGGGGAGGGGTTGTGGACTGGGAGAGACAAACCAGCTTAAGGGAATCCGCTCCTGTCGTGACATCTCCGATGAAGAAGTCAATGAAGCCTAAGGTGTGCAGGGCTCAATTCGAACATGTGCAAAAGCAAACACACAACTTAAGGCAAGAGCCTGGGCCGCATCCGCCGATGAGGACAAAATGTCCTGAGGTGTCCATGAATCAAGGAAACCACACCAACGATGCGAGCCAAGCCTTTGGAGTGAAGTTCTCGGACGTGTCGCAATCCTGGCATGTCCCGGGCTCAGTCTACCAACACTAGGGAAACCCAAGACTCCTTCAGTGGAAAAGCTGATGCTCGCGGCGATGCCGTGGCCAATGGAGACTCCTGCCAGGTTTGGAAGCCCAGAACACAAGAAATGGCAGAGATGGTGTCCCCAGCCGCCTCCTGCTGTACAGGAGCCAACGCATCCTGCACCGACGAGATTGCAAACCACAGGCCAAGGAGTTCAAGGCCCCGGCGGCCGGTACCAAGGCCAGCGACGGCTCCTGCATCAACAGCAAAGCTGAACCCCAAAGGCACAAACCCCGCAAGCCAAAAAAATCTCAACGACCATGTTCCGTCTCGGCCTCGTTCGATGTCACCGGATCGTCAGCCTTTTTGGTGACAGCCGGGCTTTCATGTTCAAGGTTCGAGGGTTGCGGGCTATTGTCATAGTCCTGCCTCTCGAGCGAAGCCGAAGTCGCCATCCACGCAGGATGACTTCGCTTGCGCCTTCAGCTCCAGCGGCACCTGCACGAGATACGAGGGAAAAGAAAAATGAGATGAGACTCCCGAGAGCCTCGGGCTTTCCGTCTTTGCGAGCCCAGATATCAGCCTACCGTCAGGGAACCAGCAGAATCCAGCAGAAGAATCGATCACGAACAGTCCGGACCCTGCCTGCTTCTTCGATCTGAAGACGTCCGTCTGCAGCCCGGCGCCCGACCACTGGTATTGGTCTCAGCAGGAACGAGAGCACATAATGCTACTAATCGGAAAATAGCGAGCCGATCAGAGATCAATGGGGCCCGGACATTCATTTCGCGATCCCCCGTACGAACGATACCAACATGACCATGGCATGGTTGAATCCTATGGATGCTTCGGCTGTCCTGATTCGAAATGCTAAAGCCCGATGCCGAAAATGTGGCTTACCAAGTCCCCCAAGTGCCGTCATAGTGGCTCTATCGAGTATGTTACCTTGGGTTATGTACGCTAAAACCCCTCTGCCGTAAAGGTGGCTTGCCACGTCCCCCAGTGCCGTAATAATGGCTTTACGAACGTATAATTATACAGTATCTACTTGAAGGAACTGCCGTGTAAGTTGCTGCCTGCCACAATGAAGCAATGCCCACAGGATAAGGCAAAATGCCTGCAGGTACGGGCGGTGCACGGCACAACTGAGACCGCAGAAGGCAAGCATGATATATAAGGCGGGGATCATGATACAACCGTGGTTCTTCTTTCTCTTCTTTCTCCTTCTTTCTCTCGCAAACCCAGGGGCAGACCGTAGTAGATACCGTACTTTCATAAGATAGGATTGACAAGGAAGTTTTCGGCAATTTCTTGGAGGTCTGCAGCAAAGATTTCCGGCAATTTATACAGCACCATATACAGCTCATGGCGCCAAAAACAATTGCCGAAGGATAATTGCCGAAAGGGGGGTACCCCCCCCTGTTCCGGCAATATTAAGGGACGGGGATGCAACGGCAACAAGTCGGTGCAACGAATTTGTGTCGCCTTGGTCGGCTGTTTTCCTTCTGAAGGTATCTTCCTCTCGGCCTCCTTCTTCTGGCTATGCTCGATCTCAGGCTCCGTCACATCCTGGAATCACTTTGCGGAAGAAATTCACGCTTAGACGGGCCAGGAAGGAGGACATCGAGGGCATCTTTACGTGCAAACGTCCTGGAGGATTTCCCGGCTTAAGCCATCTTTGGTTGCAAGCTGCCCTTCAACGACTACGGCTAGCTAGCGGCCACGGGGTATAAACATGGCACCACCTCTTCACGTGTCTTGCCGGGCCGAGGAACCGAGTCGGAGCTCAGCTGGCGTCGCAGCTTCTGCGGGGTCTTCGGTGATAACCTGCTTCTTCATCATTCAATCATCCTTCTACTTTCTCAGTTGTTCGTGACCTTCATAGGCAAAGCATCAACTACATTCTGTCACAATCTGCTACTGAGTAGACTTTAGATACCTCATCAATGTTATTATCCTCTTCTGTTGCTACCGACATGGCACAGCTAAGTCTCTGACATCTGCGTGCAAAACAGAAAATATTCTGCATGTGTGTTTTCATGATGATGGGACCCATTCAAAACTTGGCTCATCAGCAACCTCCGGCTGGCGGAACGTCCAGGCTTCTTGCGTGCCACACAGGATCAAGCCGAGAGGCGTCTCTGCTTCTATCTTATCCTCAGCGTTTCACTGCTGTACCCAAGACTCGAACGAGTGACTCTCTTGTTACAAACACAACTCTCCTTCAACCTGCTGCTTTTCGCAGGACAGCGGCGCGGCCGGGCGTGTGCCCTCCCCGTCGGTTCCTTGCGAATCGGATGGCCTGCAGGCGCAAAATCTCGCCTTAGCTGACGCACATGGCACCAACGACGTTGATGAGTAGGTGTGCTTCTGGTCGTGGCCATCATTACCACCATCTTTCTTTACACGCGTAAGCACCAGCATAGACGAAATCATCTGCATCCTCCTGACCATGGTGTTCTTTGTTGCTGTCCATCTTCACCTTCGCATCTGTCTCCACATCAATCGCGACCCCCTTTCTTGCCATCATGACGATGACCATAAACATCATCAACATCCAACCATGTTTTCCAAAGACAAAATATGTTGGTTCATGCTATACTACATCATACAATATCATGTTGCATGAGCGCAGCAGTGTCTGGCACCGTACAAGTGCAGCGTAGCGTACGTAGCATCGCATGGTATCGAGAAAGTATAGTAAAGTATAGTATACCGAGTAGAGTAGAGTACGTGTAGAGAAGAGTATAGCAGCGCTTGCTATGGCAAAGTAAGGCATAGTATAGAAAAGTACCTTGCCGGGCATAGCTCAGCTAGCATCACATAGTGTACTAAAGAATTATGACATGTTATACTACACCTGAAATTTGGGTAGGTTGCATCATGTACTACTCCATGATCGTATGCCATCATATGGGTGACATTGTATCACCTTCTGTAGGACATCACACTTTGTTACATGAAGGTAGGCTGTATTCCATGTCAGCCTAAAACTATTCTACATGTTCTACCGTACCATCTTATGACCTATTATTCTGCGATATACTCGATGCACAATCATGTACAGATATTGTATGTTATTTTGTATTCTTTATACCATGAAGATCTCGGCGACGAAGCACAAGAGATGAATGCGCGGAGCCCCTTTTGTATGAGTTTTCCGGCATAGTGACTGCTGCAGGCACAAATTCAGTTCAAGGCATGCACTCCTTGACCATTCATCCCTGGCAGGGTCACTCCTGCATGCGATCATGTGGCTCGGGTTACTCACGCCGTACTCTTCCGCCAGCGGATCGAACCGCAAGCGCTTGCGGTCTTCCTCCGAATCCTCGCTCTCGGCCTCGGCCTGGGCGCATACAACTTACGTCGCAAATCCACCAGCAACAGTTTGAGGCTGAGGTAGTCAGTACTTTCTCCCCTAAGTAAACTCTAAGAGGCTACGGTCCTGTAACCAAGCCCGTGTAACTTGTGTAATGTTTCAAAAGTGCAAAGACGGAGTGATCAGAAACAGCCTTCGCAAGACAGTCACCGCAGTCTCGATCAAGACGAGTGGCGAAACGCTTCGAGGGAGTAGACTTCATTGAAGGCCTTCCCTGTTCGACACCTCTTCAAGGGGCTGAGCGATAACATGCAAAGACTGTAGATGTTTGGCTCGTCGTCAACACCCAAGCGCTAATTATGTCTCGGATGCCGTATCCCAGCTCAGGTCCGCAGCTACCTGCTCTCACCTTTCCCGCTCCACGTGAATTCCGAAACCGAGCTGCCGCCGGATTTTTCATCAGAGGCTTTTGCCTTAGCCGAGGGCCACATTATGTATGAAGCCTTCCTTTACTAAGCACCACAAATGCCGTATTCTGTGTCCCATGTATGATGGATCGCTCCAAGTCGCTTTCGCCTTCGGTTTTGGCTTGGCTTTCCTTTTCGGTGTCTTCGCGGCGGCCATGGCCGCCCACAGACGGACAATCCGTGACCCACATCAAAGGGGGATCTCGGAAGTACTCGATCAAATACAGTAGGATTCAGTGGCCTCCCTCATGCTTAAGGCTTAAGGGAAAGCACCACGTATGCATCTTCCTGGTTTGGTATCTGCGACCTACTTGAAGGAATGCTGCTTTCGATGTCAGATGCTGCGTCGCAGGCATGTTGGGCTCGTCAGGACAGGACAGGTCATACACCTCGATGCTCACATGGCCGACTCTCGCGACCCTGCTCGGCCTCCACCGAAGGATAGCCCGTGTTGGGTATCTCTTGCCTTTCGCGCACCTCCAAAGCACGACGGACTCTTCTTGAGGCACTCAAAGACTCACCTTTCGCGCAACAGCACGTGTTGCTGCCAAGACTTTCTAGCTTCCACGTGGCAGATGTTATGCACGCTTGGCTTGTGGGGCGAGCCGGAAGCCAATTCCTGCTTAGCTGTCCGGCTGGCGGGAGGGAAAAGACGCACTCAAACAGTGAATGAACTGTTTGGGTAGCTTCTCACTCGAAGGCCACGTGGTAGACTCGTTGGGACAGCAACTTGAGATCCCCACAGCTTACCCATTCAGGAGCACTTACCAGATCGCTAGAAACCTAGCCTGGCCTATTTTCCGTCTTGCAGCCTTGCCGAACCCTAGTATGAGGCATTCTTAAAGCCTCGGCTTTAGAACTGTTGCCTCGACCAGGTGGCTGCGCCAATGTGGTCTCCAGGGCCCGGCAAACAGGTCGAGCCCGGCCCACGTGGGTGCCATGGCTGGATATGGGACTGGATTCTGTCAGATCAGGGCCATGGGCCATCGGGCACTTAGAACCGGTTCGGCAACAGAAACTTTCCATTTTCTTCGGTGCTTCCCACTTGAGTCTTTCACCATGCCCAGTCACACAAAGGACAGAAGTCAACGGGCGACTGAGATTTTCCTTCAGCCGACGCTTCTGGCGGCACTCGGTCTTCGATAGAATGCAATGTACCTCGATAGTGAAGCGTGGGTCTGTCTGGCGAAGGGTTTCTTTCTGACTATAATTATAAAGGCATTGTAGCACTGTGCAGGAGTGAGTGATGCATGCTTTATCGCTGCTGCTTTCTTGCGGCTCGGCGTCGCTTCCACGAGAAGTGCATCTTGTCGCTGGCAAGCTATTGCACGAGCGTCGTCCAGTAAAAACCAGGCCTGATCAGTGTACACCAAACATCAGGATGCTCTTGTGCATGCCGGTGCACCAGCGACACTCGCATGCGGCATGCACTGCCATGCCAGGAGTCACCCAAAGAGCGATGATGCCATTTACTGCCATTTACTTTGAGCTCACCCGGCCCGACAGGCACCTCCTCCTCCAGACTGGGCCCGGTGTTGACAAAGGCGACGTAGTGTCCGCGCTCCATGCTGCCACCCAAATGAGCACAGACAGCATACAGCTCCTTGGAAGTGGAGCAGAGATCCGTCAAACCGCTGAATCTGAAGCAACTCGGAAACTTGAAGAACCCGTGTCTGAGCAGCTGCGAGTCGTACTTCGCAGATTCATGTGGTATGCCGGCCGAGGCTGGAAGCTTCGAATCTGGCGTCATGAAATGCTGAAGCCTCAGTTGCTTGACATGTGACATCCCGCTCTGTGCTTAATTACAGCTGTCCTGCTATGCATGAGTTTCGATAAGCTGGTCTCAGGCAGCCACTCTTGCTGTTCGGGTTCTGTGAGCATGACACTGCTCAAGTCCAAAACGCTGCTTGTCTTGATCTTCGTCTTTGACTTGTAATACGAGCCTTGCTGGCCGTGGAATCCTTCGCTCGGCAGCTGCGATGTCACAACATGCCCGCACCCACAGCCTCAAACTCCAAGAACAGCTGGGTATAAAGCTCAGCTTCTTTTCAGCTGAACTGGCACGACCGGAGGCAAAGGCGGCTTTAACCAAGCTCGCTTGGAAGCGAAGCGCCTGCATGACGTCTCCGTGCCTGGGATGTTTCGTTCTTCAGATTCTGTGGACGACTACACTTTCAGGCAAGCGTCTGCAGTGAACACAGTTGTAGATCGGTGAGAAGTCCTCCTCTAAAGCTTCGATGGAGCTCAAACTCCTGAATCAGTCGCTTTTCCACACCATGTCATGACAGCATGCCTACTATACTCTTTTAAACAGGAAATGGCGGAATGGTCGAACTTTATCTTCGCCACTACATTGACATACTAATACTGAGCCCGCGCGTTTGCTAAGCCCTGATGCTTGATGCATTGCATCAGGGGTCAACATGGCTTGCTTCCACTTCCTAGAGCATTCCAGTCCTGTTACGTGATACGAGTACTGACCGCGCCATTAAGCCTTGACAGTCATGAGCAAGTAATGTCCCCTCATACCAACTATAGTGAGAGCATTCTACTTACTTTCCAATTTCCAAGACCACGCTCACTACCAGTACCAGCCTGAGGCAGTCGGCCAGGCTGGTAGCTGCCGGCTGCGGGGCCGCGGCAAAGACCTTGGCCAAGGCTGCGGGCAGCGCAGCCTCGCATTGGCCGGCGGCCTCAAAGAGCTCATCTGCTAGGGTTGTGGTGATGTAAGGGTTCCTTAGAGGCTTGCAAAGGTACTGCGAGTCAGACCAGGGGAAAGAGTCTGAGTCTAAGAGGGTATGACCTGTGGGCCGCGCGAGGAAAGGCTTCAGTTGGACTGGTTAAGAGGCTTTTTAGCTGAACTGGGGATCTGATTGGCAAATCCGGCTGCAGCACACTAATCCGCTACAGCATTGCGGCAGTTTTCGAAAAGCGTGCGAAGCAAAGTGAAGAGGCTGCGCATGTGAACTGCCAGCCAAGGCACCTCCAGCATGCGCTTTCTCTTTTCCTCCAACTCTGGCGTTGGCTTCGGCTTCGCGGCAGCTACCATGGTGGTCTGCATTGCCCGGATCGAAGCCTACAAGCGGAGACTGAAAGGAACCTAAGCACACCACGGCACGACACCTTTGCAGTCAAAAGTCCTGTCTTTCCCTGGATCGACGAAGCTTGAACGTCTGACTTGCCATCGCATCTGGCGCATCCACGGCAGCGTCATCAAGCAGCACATCCCCCGCTTCCACACACAAATGTTCTTCACCTGCCCATGCACGCAGACGACTCTGCAGCGCTGCTCATACGTTGGCTGGACATTCTGCTGGGGAAGCGAGCCCCAAAATCACAGCCAAGCCACATGCAGGCTGGGACCCTTCATTTCCAGGCCCCAACTGAGGTCCCCCCCCTAAGCTTATAAGCACCACCGACTCACAGTCAAACCACAGCCGACATCACAGATGCCAAAACAAGCGATCCACAAAAATCACAAAACCGAATCACCGAATTACACCGAGTATCAAAGAAATTATGTCCATGATTCCTAGAGGTTGCCGGACCAGGCGGTCTCAGCAATATGGCGGACTCTAGCCAATCTCTGAACCCTTGCCTCGCGATCGACAAGTGATGTTCCACATCGCCAGGGGTGAGCCATCCAGTACATTTCTGACTTCTGCAGCTCCTGCCCCAGTCTCCAGTTGAAAACCCCAGCCGCCACCTGCACTCCGAATGATGGGTTGCGGTTGCAGCTCAATCAGGAAGGTCGCATCGGGATCTTCGGCTTGATCGGGTGAGATGTCGGCTGGCAGCACGCCAGCCTTCTTTGCCTCACCGCGCTCTAGATGCAAGACAATCTTGCGCTTCGAAAGATCCGTCAGGCTTTTGGACATCTCGTCTGCATTCTCACTGTCATTCACCTTCAGGACCCGATCGCCAGCCTTCAAGCAATGCTCACAGAACAGTTTTACAGGCGCCTGGCACCTCTGCAAGAAAGGCTTGAAAGGTTGCGCGAGGAGTTCTAAGTCCGGCACGTGCACCACAGCTTTATGACGGCCCGTTGACTGGCACCGCAGGTTCCAAGCATCAAGTATCGAGTCTGGAATCACTTGTGCCACGATGATCAAGCCGTCTTCCAGCCCACTGCGTTCCAGCTGCAGTCCCCAGGAAGCTTTTGAATCCCTAGCCTTAGGTGCGCTCTGCCTGTCTCGGTCCTACCTACTCTGCCACTGACCTGGCAGAAAAAAAAACCATGGCGTTTGCAATCTAGCATCGAGCTCCACACGGAAGCCCTGCGCGTCAGCCGCAGACTTTCGAGCTGCCACGGCTTCTGCCGACGCAAATCGAAGCAACAGCCGCTGGTCGTCTTTCAACACCTCGGCGACTTGGAACCCTGGTTTCTTCGCCCTTGAAGCGGTCGGACAACGTCAACCCTACGCAAGTCAAGACATCACATGCCAACCTGCATCATGTCATCCTGGTCTTCCTTGCCTGAGGGAAAGCGCGGAGTGCAAGCCCAAGATAGGACTCAACCAGTTAGAGCAAGATGCTGCAAACTACCCCATGCCAAGGCACCGTTCACGGAGAGGAGCAGCAGCCCAGGACTCAAGCGCTGCTCTTCGCTTTGCCGTTTGTTCCAGGTGTCCACCATGGATCCATGCAAGATACCTGATCACAGCAGAGGAGGTTCTGTGCCGCATGATGTCACATGCTAGTACGCTGACAATGGTCATGGCAAGAGTGTCGCCGGATGATGCCAAGGCCGGCACGACGCAAGACCTTGCAACCATGCTGTTGGGTCTCTGCCCAGTCCAGGCCCAACGCAATCCGTCGTCCAGGGACGCGCTCCTTCGCGGGACTTACGGCAGGGGGGGCATCCCCGAACCCAAGCTCGAGATGAACCCAACGAGACCGCCACGACATGCTGCGGGGCATCCAACTGAACTTCAAGAACGGAGTGGTCGAACTCATCTGCCACGGACTCCGGCCTTGAGTTCGTTAGCTGGACACCCCTTTCACACGAATACATGTTGCTTCGTAAACTAAACGTTACGGCTACGGGATGTCAGTCTGACATCCTATGACTTCTGGAACTTCTGCACCCAAGTCACTCTGCAGCTTCCCTCTCGTCGGCTGCCACCAGATCCTCTTCGTCATCATGGTCTTCCAGTGGCTTCCTCGTCCGGGGACAGCTCTTCACGATACATCAAGCCAAGTCTCGAATTCCGAACCAGCACAGCGGCATTATCCAGCCGTGAAGACCCAGGGGACCAGGATCTTCATCGCCGGCAGCAATGTCCAAGGACAAGTCCTCGAGAAGATGCAAGCAAGTTCCAAACATCAGCGGAAGTGAGGAGCTGGGCACCAGATGCAGCCCAGTTTCCAAAAACTCTTCGCAGCGCAAGGAGATCCGCCTGGGCACAAAATGTGGCATTCGATGTCTGCCCCCCCCCTGTGGCAGTCGGATAGATCCCCGGCCTGCAAGACCAGCAGAGGATGGCTTCACAGATCTGACCTCTGAAGCTCCTCTGTACCACTTGCTGCAAGCCTGAAGCTCGAGGCTCGGGTGTGGCAAGGATGGGAGGCATGACGCAACCATGATGGCGGCCCAAGCAGCTCTGCTGATCTTCTGGTGCCTCGAGCTCATCTGCAAGGGCACCCAGGAGTGTGCGGAGGAGCTCGTGGGCATCCTGCTGTGACTTGCCCTGGTACCAGCTGTACCTGAGCAATCCCGGGCCCGCAGGCTCACACGTCTGCTGCTTCCGCACCCCAGCAAAGTTATCGGCATTCGGCATGGAACCATCGCATGTCACAAAACCACATAAAAGCAAGGAGCCTGCCAGCGAGCTCTCCTAGAATAGCTGCCACTGAAGGCTGGTCGTGTCCCATGTCGCGCAACTGGGCCAGAATACTGTTCAGCTCGTGTCCTGTTCGACCAGGCACACTTCAAGTCGTGGAACAAAGCTTGCGAGGCAATCCGTCAAAGCAAGCCCGCGGCCTATTCTGCCCAGTCGCGCTTCGTGGTCGGCCAGCTCTGCCGTGAAGGTTTGAGTCTGCCTTACAAGTAGGCAAAAGTCAGCTGCATCCCGCACAACCCCAGTAGCCGCGTGTCCAAGCACAAAGAATGCCGAGTGACGCAAGGCATTGAAGAATTGAGCCAAGATAGCAGGTGTTGCCCAAATTGGCCAGTCCTTTCGGTGTGACCTGACAGCCCGTGCCTCGACTGTGTTTTCTCTGGAAAGCCCATGGCCTCAATCTCCCCAAGAGGTCGAGGAGGCGGTTGGAAAGGAGATGAGACCTCATCGCCGTTAAGGACAGTGAGTGGGCAATCGGCCACGATGCTGTCCCCTGCCCTTCTCGATGCAGTTGTTTGAGAGATTATGCAATAACCGAGGCTTCGACAGCGTTTGCCTGCGCCGCTTTCCTGAGCAGCATTGCAGTGTCGGGACTACCGTGGGCATGATAAGGAAAGTCGAGTTGATTGCAGGGAGGGGCTGCTGAATTCCGTTCCGATCATTCATTCAAAAAAGCATGAAACAGTCTTTTCCGCGGCTACATGCCCTGATCAAATTCGACATGATGTCGCGGTGGCAGCCCCGCCAATTCTGAGAAGATCATGTGCTAAACCACGACTAGGATCGCTGTCACATGAGCCTCGGAGAGCATCTCTTGCAGCTCCTCACCGAATGATGCACCAATAAAACGGCCCCGACATGCGACAGCACTGGAACTGATGCTAACATCAGCTGATGCAGCTTGAATGACCTGTCAATCTAACTGCTGCTCTGCTCCTTTCCCGTAAGGCCCCTCAAGAGCTCTTCTGGCGTCTGCAGCCCTGGCACTGCTCCGACAAGTCCGTATCATACGTGCACTCTGCATGCCCGAATCGGCCCGAAAGCGACTGAGTGCTGCGCCCAGAATGCGGCGGATCTCCCCACGCAAGACCGCTGCCCCATCTTCTGCATCCAGGACCAGGCCACCGGCCATGGCGAGTGCAGTTCGGGTAAAACCAAATATGCTCCTTTTCCACACATGCAAATTTCAGCGCAAGATAGCGCAAGTTAAGCTCTCATCGAAAAGGTTTTGCAGGCTGCCGGCTGCCGGAAGAACAGCCGGATACGCCAAGTATTAATGCTGCTACTCTGCTACATAAAACCCCGTCATGAAGATCAGTGCAATCGGTCAGGTACACCTGCATCGGTCGTCTGATGGCCTCTGCATGCCCCGATGTGGTTGAAGATGGGCTGTAATATCTGCATTGCGTATGCAAGTCGACCGTCAGCTCTTCAATTCGTTGTTCGCAAGCTCCCGAGCCAAATGAGCTTCGATTTGCGCTTGACCACAAGCAAAACCATGCGGGCGACACACGAGTAAGCTGAGGTGGACCTTGATGGCAATCTTATATATGTCAATCTGAGGCTGCTACACCCGGTCCAAGCCTGGCGTCGAGGAGTCCAGACTTTGTTGGGCTGCCACTCGAGGCATGAAGGTTGATTTCAAGCCGGTTGTTGAAGGTCGATTCACTGGTGTCTCGGTGCAACGCCTGAGCCGGGGCGTATCCGGACCATCGCCCTGACAAGTACAGACAATACAAACAACGCTGTTGACATCCTTCGGTCTGGGGTCCTTGTCTTGGGGTGTTGTGCAGGTGTGAGTGGTTGTTCGTGCTTTTTGCTTTTGTGGGGGTGTGGTTGCTTGCTTGCCTGCTTGCCTGCCTGCCTGCCTGCTTGCTGGCTTGGTTGTCGGTCTGTTTTTGTTACTTGCCTGCATGCTTGCTTGTGTGCTGGCTTGGTTGTCTCTGTTTGTTTTTGTTTGTCTGTTTGTGTGGTGGTGTGGTTGTGTGTTCGTTAGTTTCTTTGTTGCGTTGTTCGTCTGTGGCTGTGTGTGTGTGTTGTTTGTTTTTTGTGGTTGCTTGTAGGTTGTTGTTGCTTGTGGTTGTTGTGTGGGTTGTGTTTGGTTGCTTGCTTGTTGGCTTGCTTTCTCGCTTGTGTGTGTGTGTGTGTGGGGGGGGGGTGGCTTTTGTAGTTGTGTGGTTGGTTGTTCTTCATGTTGTGGGCGTGTATGCCCGTCTGGGCTCGTGTTTGAGCTTATGTTTGTGTTTGGGCTTGGGTGTGTGTGTGTGTGACTGAAAGCAGAACAGCTGCAAGCATGCGCCCCAATCAGCTCCACCTGCGCCAGTACTGATGAGAAAACGCAGAACAAAGAATTAGCTAGCTAGGGAAAGTCTGAGCACCTTCAAGCGTATTGATGCGCTTATTCTCTGGAACAGAATAACCGGTCGTGAGGTTGACAGGAAAAACGAACGTTATTGCCACGCTGCGGCAAGCCCCCCACCTCCGTGCCTGTGACTCGAAAGCTGCCGCAGGCGGAAAGGTCGAGTCAACAACTTCGGACACAGGTGGCACGATACAGGTACCGCTGCTCGAATCATCTCTAGACTCCCGAATCTCTAGAATCGATCCATGTTTTCTGTGGAGGCTTGCACAGACTTAAGCAGCCTGCCAAGCACTGTGCGTTTTCTGCAATCTGCAAGCATTGCATGAGCTCCCGATAAGCAGGAGCAACAGAGAAGGCGGCAGCAAAATCCAAGTTTGAGGGCGTTTCAGAGCAGGTGTGTGCACAGCAGCACTGCGCAAGAGTGATTGCTTCATCGTGTTTTACGCACGTATCACGCCGCAACAGTCAGGTAGCTTATGACAGCCGCGGCAAGCTTTCCTGGCATTTTGCAACCTCTTTGGAGGGGCTACTATGAACACTCTGCCACAGTGAGCTTGGCTCGTCTGATTGAGAGATCGGATATTGCACACCGCAAGACAGCAAGGCATTGAAAATTGGTGCAGCTGTTGCACAACTGTTTGGGCAGTTCGCTACTGCAACACATGACACCATAAAAGACATCTAATGCCGGCGTGCCCTGTTTCAAACTTCTGACCAGATGCAACCTTTGATTGAACATCTGTGGTGAGAATCTGGAGCAGATGATCTTCTATGAAGATGCTGCTGCCTCAAGAGTGCACTAGCATGGAGAGGCAAGGGTGTCAGCCACCAGCGCTGGTACGTGTACATTCGTAGCAGCATTGAACTGCTCTCGGGACCAGGCTTCCAGTACCTCGAACTTGACCGTGGCGTCGCTCGCCAAAGACTTCTGCCCAGAACCACCTGTTTATGACTGTTTGCCCCCGTCCCGTTAGGTTGAATCCTGGAACCCACTAGTCCACTAGTCACTAGTGATCGAAAGCCGGCAAGGTCTTGAGGCGCCACCCAAAGACTCGACAGATTGAAGACTGGTCGTGGACCTGAAGGCATCGAATCGTCCGTCTTCTGGCGCACACTGAGGAAACGAGGTGCCCACGCTTTGTGTGGAGAGATGGCTCCCAGCTTAATGAGCTCACGCCTGCTTGCAAAGCTGAACGTCAGGCTTTTGATTCCGCGCTATCTGAGGCCCCCTGCTTTACTGGCGCTTTATGCCCCTTCGGGTGCTGCTCCCACACCTCGCATATTCCGGATACCATCCATCGGCTTCGCACCACTCTGGACATGATGGTAAGTGTGCCTGTGCCAGGTAAGGCTCTGCATCAGGCCAGGTGTTGGCCTCGCCAAATGACGCCGAGCAAAGACCTGCCTTCAAAGTTTGTCAAAGCTCGGCTCGGCACCAGGAGGCGGCCGGCCGACTTGGAGCCCCAAGAGCTGGCCTTGACAATTCCAAAGCCAACGCTTTCAAGCGACGCCAACATCTTCGCGACCAAGCTATGGACGTACTGGACGCCTCCCAAAAGCGTACTGCCTCCGTGTGACATGCTTGACACTGCTTTCTCAGCCCTTTGAGGTGATAGGTTCTGCTGCATTCGGCCACAGTAGCAAACAACTGTAGCACCACCTCCCGAGTACACGCCAGCACCGCCAGCACGTCCACCTTTGCCAGTCCGAGCCTTAGTGGCATCTCGTGGTCACAGAATGGTCACAGGATGAGCTTGCAAGCCACTTGCAGCCCTTTGGGCTTAAGCTTCTGTGCTTTATCCAACTGGAACCCAGTAAGCTTATATTGGCATGGAACGCTCCGCTGAACTTTTTTCTAAAATCATATGAGCCTTGCTGAAGGGTCAGCCAGACCCTAAATTAGTCTCAGTTGTTGTCAGAGCCCATGCTGCTTCATACGCTTACAATGTCCAGATATGTAAGTCTGGCACAAATGCCGATGGAAGTTGGTTGCACTTTCGATGCGCGGGCTTCCATTCTCCAATCGCGTTGAAAGTCACTAAAAGAGACGGCAGCCAACCCGTGACGACCGGAAAGCATGACTTGAGCACGACGTTGCCTGCAGAATGCAACTTAGCTTTCTGCAGAACATGTCGAAGCACCCCGAGTGACTCGCCATCGTGCCGGTTCCAGTTGGACCGCTTCTCGCTCTTTCGCAGGCTCCAGGCTGGGTGAGCAATGTATCAAATATTGCTGAGCCTTCGGCCAGGCTTCCATCCAAATCGATGGTGGCCTGGAGGCTCAGGAAGGGGCGAAGCAGCTCTGCAGGTCTGCCGGCGGATAGATGTGATGCGATTCAAGCTTGCGCAGCAAACCGAAGCTGAGCTGCACACCAGGCTCCCAGAATTCATGAGACCCAGCCTCCCACAGTCTCGAATTCGTCCGAACGCATTGCCATCTGGCCAACCAGAAGCTGACTTCAGGCACAGGCTTGGGTTGTTCGACGAGATTCAGCTCGTAACACCGCCTGTGTCCACACTCCAGATTCCCTCTCTCACCCCGACTTCGCACTGGAGGTCTAAGATGCCACTGCTCTCCAAAACGGCATTGCATGTTAGAGATGGCTGGAACACTGCCGATTGACATGAGCTCAGACGTCTGCCCGGTCTTGTTGAGCTCTTCATCCGTCTTTTGCATGCCGCGCCCCTTGCAGACGATCGGCCTCAAAGATACGGGTTCGAGACGAAATGCAATCCGAACCCCCACCATTCCCCTTGCAGGATGTAGTTTGTTCTTCGGGCAGGCGCTCATCTTGCAAACCCTTGCCTGGGCCATTTCCGACCTGGGCGACTTTGCTTCTATCAAGAATTTGGAAAGATCGGCCGGGGGGAAGGGTGTCTGAAGACGCTCAACATCGCTGAACATCATCCGAAATTCATAAGCTGCAGGCACACTTGTCCTCGAAGGCCTGACCATTTGTGTGTTCAGCAATTCGCAACGAAGAACGCACGTTGACCACAACTTTCTAGACTCTAGATTTTTCCACAGGACTCTATCGTCGGACATCGTGACTCTACGACCTCCCAGCTTTTACCGCTGTTCTTGCAGTTTCCTCACTGCGCAGGGTGGCCGTGGGTACATTTGTCGGTATTGTACACGGCGCTCCGCCTACAGCATGCTGTTGCTTGCCCATTCTACCTGGCCGGCCTCTTTCCTTAGGGTTCATTCAAGGAGGAAGGTTTCTTGAGATGCAAAGCGATCCGCTTGTACGTTTTGAGGGAGGGCGGCGCGGTTCACCCCTAGGCGCCGCTTCGTTGGACAAGGACACTCACCAGTCTTTTCGATATGCTGCAACCTAAATTGAAAAGCCTGCCCTCCCCGAGTCTCAGAAGCTTGGGAGGTCCGGGCGCGCACTTCTGCTGCTCTTCTTTTCGTTTGTCACCACAGAGAATGGACAGAGCTCTAAGCTTGGCAGCTCCACGAAGGGACGGGAACTGGAACTGGCATCAGTGGCATCTGCCTTCGGAGGTGGCGGCTCTTCCACGCTCTCCTACCAGTAACGGAAGGGGAGAGAAGCTTCTATGCACAAAAATGCTACTTGTCGCGACTTCGCCGTCTCCTCCTCAGACTCTGACACCACCTGGCGCAGCAAAAGGTAAGTCAGAGTCTGAGTACTGCCAATTTTGGACCGCACTGCAAGTGATCCGACCCTTCGGTGGGCCAGGCTGGGCTTGTCTACGAGGAGAGGGATCCCCCAGTACACTTGTGGCCTCAGGTGCCTCCTCTGGCGTCTCGACAGGGGGCCTGGCTGTCGTGCACCGCAACAACTGTCCACCGGAAGCATCGGGCAGAAATCGAGCAAAATCACATACACTATTATTCCCCCCCTACCGTTCAACAGGAAGTGGAGTCTTCCACCCTGTCGATCGGAAACTCGGCAATGCCAGCTTCAAACTCGAGACGTTCCCAAAGGCGCATGCGAGAATCGTGTCAGGGTGTGCGGAGCTTCCTCCTCCTTTGGAGCCTCGCTGCTGGGTGCAGCTGTCGGACCTTGGCATGTCAAATGGGTAGTTGGTAAAAATTATGGTCCCTTTTTGGGCACCTAATATAGTACGGCACCTAACACTTAGGGTACCCCAAAAGGGACCATTGTTTTGACAACCACCCAAATGTATGCATTAGGTGTGGGCGCTCTCACTCGGACAATCCTTGCAAGGCATGTTGAAGGTGATACGAGTGAGCTCGCAGAACAACGACTTGGAACCCAAGCTCAGGCGTGAAGGAGATCTAATTAAGATTGCAGTTTGTTCATGCCTTATTCCTGTAGACCTGGCTATGCGAATCATTGCAATAGCCTCACTAGCAGTACTCTGTTAGAGGGCTCTGGCCCTCCCAGCAACCAGTGCTAGTCAATGACAGTCGCTTTGCCACTCTGAGCCCTTGCGAGGGTCGGCTGATAGGTCACTACTCAAATGCCGTGCGCACTCTCCTTCCGATCCTCCCCTGATCCGATCGCCCTTTGCAGTTTCTGCTACTACAGCTTGGCAGGCGACAAAACTAACACCTCAACAAGTAAGGACACAAATACTAGTTGCGAGTAGCAGGGCTTGGGGCTGAAATCCCTTGCAGCTTCAACAGCTTCGATCTTGCTTGGCCATATCAATCTTTCGCCTCCCTCTGCACTACCATGTTGAACTGAGGTCGCTGCCCCTTTGGGATGGCCCGGGATCTTGCTTGTATTTCTTCTCTTTCTTCTTTTCAGGCTCCTGAATGATGTCAGGTAGTACTGCATGCTCCAGCTGTCAACTAGAGAAAAACTCTGCGAGACATGTGCCTTTTGAATTTTGAGCGCCCGGGCATAATCTGGCAAAGCTGTTGTTTGCCATGTCTCTTCTTGCACCGTGCAGCTTTCGGCCTAGGCTTTCCCAACGAGGCCAAGTTTGCTGATCTGGATTTGATGGCCAGAGTCTTCATCGCCCTTGGCATAGACGGCCAGGAAGCTCAACTTCTGAAATTTCAGGAAGTTTACATCGATCGTGGCAGTCGCCACTGGCCCTGTACCTGCCCAGCTGATATCGCTGAACTCCTGGGTGGCGGCGCCCCCAGCAGCATCATCCATGTCCAGATTTGGGCTGTTTGCAAACAGCCGGAGGGCTTTTGGAGCATTGTCCATGCTGGTCTCCAGGACCAGCTTCTGAAGCTTCACGGGTGAGATGAAGGGCAAAAGCAGCAGCAGTTCAGGTGAGCCATCTGCATCTGAGCTGACTCCTCCAGCCCGCAAGGCTTCCGTGGGATCCGACTCCGACGCATTTAGGACGCCCGCGCTGGGCCAGTCTACCTCGCTCAGTAGATCTCCATCCACGGAGCGTGCGACGAGGCCCGCAGCCGCGGGGCCACCAGCACCCTCGGCTTTGGCCTTGGGCGCTGCTGCTGGGGCACTGCCGACTGCACTTCGCACGGCGTTGCCAAGGCCCGCCAAACGGTTCACCCAGGATGGGATGCCTTGGTTGCACAGTCGCTGGCAGAGGGCATCGGAAAAGTGGTTGCAGTTCCTCGCCATCAGATCGTAAGAAGAAGCCGGGAATTCGGAACGCATGTCTTGGATGATCCGGAGCGCCTCATCTCGAGACTTGCGGCAGGGTGCTATGTCCACAGACTGGTAGAACACCCAACCACTCCCAGGAGGAGGGACACGGGGCCGTTGCACCGTGACGCCACTGAAGGACGAGTCGCCGCCCCCGAACACGTATTCGCCTCCGTACAGCTCAACCCCTGAGTGGTAAGCGGCATGTTGCCCACCTGACGGGGAATACACATTTAACTTTACGACGGCAGAGCTGGACGGAGCCGCAGTTCCACCGCTGGTTGCAGCTGTCGGGGCATCTTGACTCTGGGACCCGCCCATTGTACCGTCTCGGCGGGTCGAAGATTCGAGACCTCATCTACGGACAAGACACTACCTTGATCCTGAGAAGGGCGGGAATGGACTGCTGCAGCGTGCTGAAAGCTGAACGAGGCATTCTGTCCGGAATGAGCCGGTGATCAGGATGTTGCTGGGTATTCCAAAAGACTTCATCAGTCAATAGCTGCTCGCCGCTCGCCTCCTTTGCAACCACCGTTGGCTTCTTGGTCTCCTTCTTGCCTGATTTGGGCTCATACTCTGGACAGCTTCCCACCTGCCTCTCAGCACCCACACATCTTACACCTGCAAGCTGCCGATACCGTTGGCCTTCAGCTTTTGCTGGCTTTTGCTTCTCCTTCAGCTTTCGGAGTTCTTCCCTGGGCAGCCGGCTCTTGAACCCTCCAGGCGCCAGGCACCGCGACGAGTGCTGTTCTCTGCACTTTTACGCTGACGTTCTGATTATTTCTTTGGACACACTTCATGACTCCTCTTCCCAGATCATCGTGGCCTACTTCTTTCTCAATGTGGGTTTGCTGCAGATGTGATACCGTAGACTACCGTGGCTTCTCGGAGACAAAACGCCTTTCGGGAAGTGAGATTTCCTGAGACCCAGACTCCAACTCTGCGATTCGTGCATCCTGAGCAAGGCTCGGTCCTTCGCCTAGGGCCTTATAGGATCTACTGCAGCCTCCACGCTCCAGGCGCAGGGAGTCTTGTGGGAAAAGATTGGAGTTGGGCAACTACATCCATGCTAGGCAGACAAACTTCCTGAGCTATCATGTGCTGAGGTTTGCATCATGCAACCTAGGTTTCCTAGAGGCACCGTCTCGAAATGAGATTGCCCTGCACCGGCTGCTGCTTGCATCCTGTACTCAAGGAGGTTTGGTAGATAGCAAGTCTAGGTCCCCGGCACGTTCGGCAAGAAGCTGCTTCAATCGTTCAATCTCCTCTTTCAGGCCCTGGCAGAGGCCGGCTCTCCCCACTCGAGGAGAGGAAAGCATGAGGCCGTTGCCTCCATCTTGGCAAGCTCTCGTTCCGCCGCCGCCAGTTTCATACGAAGGAGCTCCTGATACACATGAGCTAGAACTAGAAAAGCTGCTAGTGGCTGGCCGTCGAAATGCCGATCTCTTCTCAACAAAGCAGACACAACAAAATAGCTCTCCAGTTCTGCTTGTAGTCTCTTGATGGCATCATGGTCCTTGGCAAGACCGCTCGCTGGTGGTAGAGCAGATAGCATGTGGAGGAGCGTAGTACGAGTAAGGTATGGGCGACGACCTCTCGGATTTTATCTCCTGGCCCATGAGAGTGGGAGAAGGGTTTTGGTTTTCAGACGTGAAGGCTCCGTGGCAGTGACGAGGGCTCCTTCCTCTTTTTTCGGCTTTCTTTTGACCTTAAGTGATGAAGTTTTCGCCTCCCTTCCCTGTTTGCTTCAGCACCAGAAATTGGAATCTCTGAAAGCCTGCAGGAAAGCTGAGGGCAGAGCAGGTTTAGTGCTAACCTGTTCAACCTGCACGCACCGTCGCACCACTGACTCTACGGCAACGATTCAACAAACATTGGTGGTGCCTCTTCTTCGCTGCTGCTGCTCTCGGCTTGAGCTACAGGGCCTCGGGCTGAATCATAGTGCCATGGGGGCCACGGTCATGCTGCTACTCCTGGACAACGCGTCCCTTGCCTTTCTTCTTTGGTGCCTTAGGCTTCGGTCCTGCACGTTTGCCATGCCGTCAGCACATTTCAACGCACTGATGGTCTGCTCGTCATCGCGTGGTCATGTCTGGTTCGAGTATCATTGCCAGGGCAATTATGCCAGTCGCCTGGATCAGCTTGCTGCACTGGCTGCACGCGCGGCTCGCCTGACAATGCAGAATGGAAAGCCTCGATCTGTAGCTAGGCAGGTCTACTACATCAGGTTCACGAATCGGCACAGACTTCAGCCGAATACAGTAGAAGCAAATGCTGATGAGTCTGCGATGCCTGGCTGGACAACCTCCGGCCCCTTCTGTGGAAAAGGCGCCCAGGGATCGGTCTGGCACCTTTGCTAACTGCAGCGCGCCCGTCGCGGCAAGACTTGGACTCCCAAGTAAGCCTAGATGCTCTTTGGAGGCCGGCAGCTGTCGCTTGCGCACAGGGCTGGTGACCTCATCTCGAAGACTTGCATTCCCTAAGCTCCGAAACTCCTCGGCCCTTGCGCAAGGGTTCGAACCGGCGCTCCTGCAGCCCGCAGAGCTTCCTGTGCCTTCTCGACCGTGCTTCCGGACACGAATAAGCCTAAAAAGCTTGGCTCTTGCAAGGTACATCCTGGCAGCACGGCGCCTTTCTGAGCTCCTCCTCGAGATCTCTGATGGTGCGGTTCTGTGTGCCGTTCTGACAGTGGCCAAGCTTTTGCCAACGTGCATCGCATGGCTTGTGATGCAAGAGATGAAAACGTGTCACCTACCTCCTTCTCCAGCTCCGCGATTCGTCTTCGCAACGACTGAGAAGTTACAAGCAAATTGGCTCGGAGCCGCGTCGAAAGCGTAAAGCTGGATTCCTCGATGAGTTCTGTCTGGTCGACGATCTCGGTCATGGGCACCGGCGGAAGAATCCTGTTGGAACATATCTTTTTCTGCTTCTGATAAGTAGACAGCTGCATCGTTGCAAAGCAAGACTCCGTAAGACTCCAGCCCGCCCTCGCCCTTTTCCGGCTTGGTCAAATACCGCACATCCAGCTGGAGCTGCTCCTGCCAGGCCAAGTGGGATGGAATCAGATAGCAGGAAGCACATTCTGTTTCAAGATGCCTTCAGAGAGCGCAGGAAGACGGCTGGCATGTGCATAGAAGCTGCATCCAGCCTAGGTGCAGAGTGTATGGTGACCTTGTGACTTTCATCGGGCAGGCTTGGCGCTGGTGCGGCTAGCTGCGGAATGACAACGCAATCCAAGAGCTGCGCAGCTTCGTCAATGCCCTTCTGAGATGCTCAATCCTGATGGTATGTGAAAAGCCTACACTGGCCACAGCAAGGGTCGGTGTTCAGATAGTTCGCCAAGTCCGAGGTGCAAAGACGAAGCGAGTGCTCTGAGCCATTCGCTCTTTGAAGAACTTGCTCGACTCCTCTGCGTGCTTGGCCTCAAGCTCCTCCTGACGCTCGGCCGCGGAAATTTTGCGGTGTGTAAACCTAAACTTACCTGTCTTGGGTCTCTGGGGAGCTGGCAATCTTGCGGCACTTGGGGCTTTGCGGCTCTTCCAACGATTCCTGAGACGCAACTCCCGTCTCCGACTCTCACAGGCGAGCAGGCTTCTCTTCGCTTCGCAAATTGGGCCTCCACTCTCCGATGCAGCCAGGGGAGGTTCGTATGCTCCGAAAAGGGCGCATGGCTTCGGGGGTCGATGTGGCGATGGATGTGGATATGGCCCATGCGCATTGCGGTCGACCCTCAGAAGACCAGACCCGTTCCCCAACACGGCACATGGCCAACGCAGAAGCCGACCGACTTAACCAGCTCATCGGCCGATGAGCCATGAAGCCCTGATTGCACCCTCATGTCTGTTTTCAAAGTTTCGGGATCTGTCAGCTCGGTGCCGCACGCCCTCTGCCTCCAGCTGTGCTTCGAGCTTCCGGTTGCGAAGTGCCGCACGGCGCTCCGTGAGGGGGCTGTCCGGTCGCACTGGCAAGAGCAAGATTGAGAAAGCATCCAAGCACCATCCGAGCTATTCTCGACTGAAGAGCTTAAGAGCTGCACAATGCTGGGTCGCGCCTCCATCTGGCGCTACGCTTCGAAGCACATCTCCTGCTGATCGTGGAGATAACGATAGCAGGTTCGAGCCGTTGTGAGATTCAGGATGCGGCGCAACGGACTCGCTCCACCCGACGGTGGGGCTTTGGGCAACGGCGGAAAGGACCTGCGCGTGCGGGGCACTGCATCAGGTCCAAAGCCAAGTTCTTAGCTCCGACGGACGAAACTCGGCACTGGACGGCTGCGGCGAATACGGTCTGGAACCTGACACTTGCCCAGCTCGGGTGAACTTCTGCGACCAGAACAGAGCAGCAAGAGTCTGACTGTTCCTGATGAGTGCCAAGCGAGAAATGGTGCCTCTGGAAAACGGCGAGGCCTAATCGGTAAGAAGAAGAACCACGGGAGCAGGTGCTGGGAGGAAACTGCAACTGCTTGAAATTAAACTGGTGCAGCTGGGAGCCTGACCGGCGAGGCCACGCAATGTACACAAGGCACCCGGCTACTACAGGTCAACCTCGGCTGAGCCCTGCGGGACGTGCAAAAGGACCGCAAGAGTAGGAAGCGGAATGCTTGCTCCCTCTTGCATAAGGAGGAAAACGGACGAAACCTCCTCTCAAGCCCTATCAAGCGTGACTGACATGCATGCCGGTCCAGACCAGAGCCAGGCGCCGGATTTTCTCCCAGAAGTGCTGGACTGCTGGACTGCTGGCGGTTGCTGTTGCACTCCCCATACAACATTTGAGCCCCCAGGCGCTTGTGAGCGACCTTCGCTGTGCAGCACGAAGTTCCGAGCATCTGCTCGGGCAGCTTGGGCCCTTATAACATGCAATTCTCCAGTGCCATGCAGAGGCATTACAGAACGAAGTGCCAAGAATTCATGTGGCCTCAAGCCCCCACAGATCCAAGGGCGGCTGCAGCACAGGAAAAGGATTGAAGTCGGCACTTCACGGTCATGAATAACCATAGCTTTAAGCTACTGTTTTGGCTCCCACTTGTCGGCTTTAAGCTAAAAATCAGGATAGTTCTGGCACACAAGTCAGTTTGAAACCCCGAGACACCATGTGTTCCACACGGGTCAAGCGGCATACAGCCGAAAACTGTCTCTTTGTGCACTGCTGCGAAAAACTCTGACAGCACTGCTTCTGCAGCCGCATGTCACACATCGAGTGGCATTGCAGACCAACCTTGGCAAGACGATAACGGAAGCCGAAGCTGAAGTTGTGCTGCAGCACGACTTTCCGTAGAATTGAAGTAGGTGTGCGGCATGGGGTGGGCTGGCTACCTTCGTCCCGGCTCACCTGCTTAAAGAAAACATCGAGCAACCATGGGGCTGCAGAAAAGGCATTCCACTGCCTGCAGCAAGCTAGCGCTCTCCTGCTTCTGCGGAGATGTCCCAGAATCCTGTTGACATTGACGGTATTGAGCTTCGTTAACAAATTCCGAAAATACCTGGGGCAATTTGCCTGCGTGTCGGCGTTCCGCAGCTGCTCCTCTGCTGCGTGGCAAGCAGCCAGCAACTCGCCTGGGCTCGGCACACGGATGCAGGATGCTGTTACCGGCGCAGGCGCGAAGCCGAAAGATCTCGCAGACGTGGCAGCAGGCAAGCTTCGATTTTTTGCCTTAGGGGCATCGGCTCCTTCTGCATCACCGATCTCTTCACGGTCTTCACGAAGGTATCGGGAGGTCACCTCACGCATGTTCGTACGGACCGTAGGAGCGTCCAGTCGAGTCGTGCCTTTGGCCGCTTTCGACATCCATGCGCGCTTCCACTGGGGAACGTCATCATGTTGGAGAGAAGCAGTGTGTGGTTCGATGTTGTTGCCGCGTCAAGACAAACAAGCCAGTCACCTCATCCGGCGAACTTGTTCCTGGAAGTACGAGTAGAGGAAAAGCCTTTGCGCCCGATCCCGCATCACGCTTTTACACACACAGGGTCCCAAAGACCCGCACCCTTCAGCTTCTTCTGCTTGGCTTCCTTTCCAATAACCCATGTCGAGTGATAGGACACCATGTGGTACGGCTCCTGCAAAGCAAGTCTGGGATCGACAGCTCCATCGATGTACTCCCATGGGTTCATGTCGCAATAGTCAAAGACTGCCTCCCCTGCCATGCCTGCACATTGAGTGCTGTCGCAGTGCCGGAAACATGCGAAAAACTCATTGTCTTTTGGCTTCCGCTTCCGCTCAACCACAAGTGCATCCCAGAAGTTCTCTTGGTCATCCAGGCCGGGCCTGTTGTTGCACCAATGAATGCTGATGTTGAACATTCGCTGCATGATTCGTGGCTTCCTTCCACCTGACACATAGTAGAAGCCGGTGTTACCCTTGATTGGCTCTTGGTGGTGCTCGTCTGTCCTAGGCCCCGGTGGCTTGATTTTGCGTCCGTAAATCATGTCGTACTTCCCCGAGCGCATCATACTTCCAAGCGAGAGTGACGGGAGGAATGGGTCGCTCTTGAACACACTGTCGCCGTCTGAGAACACCACATCCAGCTGTGTCTCCAGAAGCACATACAACATTGACCGCAGCTTGTTGCATCCCACAATCTGGAAACCAGGACTTCCAAAGCGTTCGTAGGACCCGTGGCGCTCGCCGACGGTCAGAAAGCTGCGCTCTGGACCAAGCTCTTGATAGATTTTGTCATCGAGTGCCACGACCAGCCAGTCCAAGCCGAACTTTCTTGCATAACATTCCCAGTTCTGCAACATGTCCAAGTATCCGTAGTTCGCAGCTGTGAGAAGAAGAGCATTGCTCAGTTCGGGTGCGCGGGTCTTGTCCAGGTACAGCCCAGCATGTTTTCGAAGAAGCTGTGGAAGTCGTCCGCCCTTTTGTACAACTGCGGTCTCGCTTTGGACAGTTTGGGCCATCAGCGAGGCGGAATTTGCTGGCAAGGCTGATGCAACCACCTCACCCTTGAAGGCTTTGCTGGCACATGCAGCGTCCCATAGCCCAACGGTCTTCAGTTTCTGCTGTTTCTTCTCCTTGCCAAAAACCCACGTGGCGTGATAGGACACCATGTGATACGGCGCCTTCAACGCATCTGTCGGCTCGATCGCACCGTCCAGGTATTCCCAAGGACTCATGTCACAGTAGTCAAAGACCTTGGCCCCTTCGATGCCGCTGCACTGGGTGCTATCGCAGTGCCGAAAACACGCGAAAAACTCCTTGTCTTTTGGCTTCCGCTTCCGCTCGACCACAAGTGCATCCCAGAAATTCTCTTGGTCATCTTGGTCGGGCCGCCTGTCGCACCACTGAATGCTGATGTTGAACATGCGCTGCATGATTCGCGGCTTCCTTCCACCTGACACATAGTAGAAGCCGGTGTTGCCCTTGATCGGTTCTTGGTGGTACTCATCTTTCTTGGCTCCGGGTGGTATGATTTTGCGTCCGTAAATCATGTCGTACTTCCCCGAGCGCATCATACTTCCAAGCGAGAGTGACGGGAGGAATGGGTCGCTCTTGAACACACTGTCGCCGTCTGAGAACACCACATCCAGCTGCGTCTCCACAAGCACAGACAACATTGACCGCAGCTTGTTGCATCCCACAATCTTGAAACCAGGACTTCCAAAGCGTTCATAGGACCCGTGGCGCTCGCCTACGGTCAGAAAGCTGCGTTCTGGTCCAAGCTCTTGATAGACTTGGTCGTCTAGTGCAACGACAAGCCAATCCAAACCGAGCTTTCGTGCATAACACTCCCAGTTCCGCAGCATGTCCATGTAGCCGTAGTTCGCGGCTGTAAGAAGAAGAGCATTGCTCAGTTCGGGTGCGCGGGTCTTGTCCAGGTACAGCCCAGCATGTTTTCGAAGAAGCTGTGGAAGTTGTCCGCCACTTTGTACAACTGCGGTCTCGCTTTGGACAGTTTGGGCCATCAGCGAGGCGGAATTTGCTGGCAAGGCTGATGCAACCACCTCACCCTTGAAGGCTTTGCTGGCACATGCAGCGTCCCATAGGTCAACGGTCTTCAGTTTCTGCTGTTTCTTCTCCTTTCCAAAAACCCACGTGGCGTGATAGGACACCATGTGATACGGTGCCTTCACCGCATCTGTCGGCTGGATCGCACCGTCCAGGTATTCCCAAGGACTCATGTCACAGTAGTCAAAGACCTTGTCCCCTTCGATGCCGCTGCACTGGGTGCTATCGCAGTGCCGAAAACACGCGAAAAACTCCTTGTCTTTTGGCTTCCGCTTCCGCTCGACCACAAGTGCATCCCAGAAATTCTCTTGGTCATCTTGGTCGGGCCGCTTGTCGCACCACTGGATGCTGATGTTGAACATGCGCTGCATGATTCGCGGCTTCCTTCCACCTGACACATAGTAGAAGCCGGTGTTGCCCTTGATCGGTTCTTGGTGGTACTCATCTTTCTTGGCTCCGGGTGGTATGATTTTGCGTCCGTAAATCATGTCGTACTTCCCCGAGCGCATCATACTTCCAAGCGAGAGTGACGGGAGGAATGGGTCGCTCTTGAACACACTGTCGCCGTCTGAGAACACCACATCCAGCTGCGTCTCCACAAGCACAGACAACATTGACCGCAGCTTGTTGCATCCCACAATCTTGAAACCAGGACTTCCAAAGCGTTCGTAGGACCCGTGGCGCTCGCCTACGGTCAGAAAGCTGCGTTCTGGACCAAGCTCTTGATAGACTTGGTCGTCTAGTGCAACGACAAGCCAATCCAAACCGAGCTTTCGTGCATAACACTCCCAGTTCCGCAGCATGTCCATGTAGCCGTAGTTCGCAGCTGTAAGAAGCAGCGCATTTCTCAGTTCGGGCGCGCGGGTCTTGTCCAGGTACAGCCCAGCATGGTCTCGCAGGAGCTGTGGCACGTCGTTGTTGCCGCGTAATTGTGTTCGTGGGGTAATTTTAATTTCCGGCTTCGTAGATGTCGCGATGGAGGAGAAAATCAGAATCCAGCTCTTGAGAATTCCACTGTATCCTTCCAGTGTACTGTATCGTTCGAGTACAATGGAGAAGACGGCCCCTATGAGCAGAGCTATCAGCCATGCCCGTCGCATGGATTTAGGCTCGTGGTTCACGACCAACAGCGACGAGGAACTCTGCCCTCGGCATCTGCAGTGAATTGGTATGCTACTCGAACACTCGTACTAGCAACAAAGTCCACAAGGAGTTTGCTTGCGTGCACAGTGTCAGGGCAGGAGTATCCTATCTGCGTGAGGAATCTTTAGTCGAAGCTGCAACGCATGCTGGCTGCGGGCGTCTATGAGCCAGGACAGCAGGGAATGGCTGCGCGATGTCTGTCGATTGCGACAACCTGGCATGTGCTGAATGCAGCTTGGTGCAAGCACCTCTTTTTCGAGCATCTTAAAACTTAAGACTGCTTGTGCCCTTTGCGCTGGCAGGAACGGCACATGCATTTGACTGCATGGCGGAACAAGAGCACGGGATACGCTGGCCAGGTCCAGCAAACGAAGTGCAGCAAGTAGCCCCAAACTTGCACCTTCACCACCACAAAATAGAAAAATCCAAATTCATCTTGCAGGACTCTGGATCCCTTTGAGGTTTGGAATCAATTGAAGATGCACCTTGGTGCCCTGATTGAGGTTCGGGAACTCGCCGGGTGGCACAGGCATGTCGAGGAACTTGCAAAGCGGCCCCCATCCATCGGACACCTTGGTCCAAGACGTAGAGAAATCAACCGTTTATGAAAGGCAGTCGGCCCATCATCAGGTCAACTGTGAGCTTCAATTACGAAACTATCAGCAAGCCACTGCTATAGTTCTTTCTCCAGATCAGTAGCAACAGACGCAACGACAGCAGCGAATCACTCGTACAGCCAAGTCACATTGAAAACCAACAGCTTCTCAGATGGTACGACCTCCTGCACCTTGTGAGTCGTGGGTTTGCGCGACATCGAGGCTTGGACAGCGGCGCTAGGCAAGCAACGGTACACCTCTCTATGACCAGCCATGGCACTTGCTGCATCCAGTCAGCTTGCACACCTCGTGAGCCACAAACAACGGCCCGTGGCAATACCAGCAAACGAAGCACCAGTCGGATCGGAAGTACTCGAGATAGTTGTGTTGAGCCGCATGACTAAAGTAACGAATCTTGGTACCATGACTAGCCGAAGAGCTGGGATTTTTCTGCCATGAGTCGCGTGATTCATTTGACGTATGTCAAGAACATCAGCATAGTCGGCACAGTCTTGGTTCGGCGACTATTCGGCTCTGATACTTTCTAGCTGTTTTCCCACCTGCTTCGCTGAACTAGCGATGCTGAACTCGAAAGGTGCAAGTCCCAGGCAAAGCTACATTCCCCTCAGGAAAACGCCAACACCCTTTTGTCTCTCCTACCTGTCCTACCTAGCAAGGAAGGGCGTAGGGTTTAGGTATTGCATGCTAGACTCACAGATCACGTGTCTGCGCCTTCTTTCGACAGTCACGACTTGCACGAGAAAAGCAGGGCTTCGCACAAGTCTGTGTAAGACATGACCAACACTACGCCCCGGAAGCCGATAACGAAAACCCGCACCCAAAACCAGAGAGCACCCAAAATCAATAAGCAGCCAAGCCCCAAAGCACTCACGGGACACCGAGGAAGGATGTGACATTCTTCAACCAACTGGTTCAAGCAAGTGGCCGGGGCCCAAAAGGCTAATGCGACATCAACAGGTTTTGGGTCAGGCTTGGGGAATCATGCAGGGATTCCTGGCATGTGCAAAGAGGGGATGGAGCACGGCCTGGCCGAAGCAGGCAGAGGCCTCCACAAAGATCGCTTGTTTCCCGTCGTCTTCATTCGTCCCTAGCGACCCCTTTCCTTAGCCGGCAGCCTGAACCCCCCCATCCCTCCGGACCCATTCACAGGCCCCAAGGTCAAGTGGTGAAGCTGGAGGATATTGGTTGGTTGTCGGCAGTCTGACAAAAACGTTTCGCCCCCCCCCCCTACACCCTCTCTCCCTCCATTCCCCTTCTTTGTTTGCGGCCGGGCAGAGGCGGACGACGTAAAGCGTTTACAATTGTGTATCTTCCTTCTTTTTCACACCGCATCTGAACCCACAAGAACCTACTATACAGACTAAACGGATTCCAACTCCTCAGCACAGGCACGAGCGAGATACTCGTCTTCGAACTCCCAGATGTGCCTGATGACCCGCGGTTTCATCTTGATTTTCCTGCGCAACGTGCGCACTCACTCTTGGAAGGTGGAAACTCGTGTCTCGTTTTGCCAATACGACCCCCTGCACAGGTCGTTCCTTAAACCCTTACCGCACCGAGCGTTCGCCAACACCCAGCGTCACGGCAAGACCGCTGCAATACTATGCTTCTTTCTAAAGGTCTAGCGACATGAAAAATCGTGACGCACTTTCTCATGTCGCTCCAGGGGTACCGGCGCATGGTCATTCGATCGTCGTTTTTCGGGTAAGTGTTAGAAGACGCTAGAAGTTAGAAGTATATAAGTGTTAGAGATGGGACTCCTCGGCAGTCGCTGTGCCAGCAGCTCGAGAGAGCGGAAGGGCTCAACCCAATTGAAGGGACGCTGCCGCGTGGCCTCCATGAAGAAATTGAACTTGGCCATGCTTTGGGCCCAGTCTTTACTGTCTCGAACAGTGAGGATCACTTTTGCCTTGGTCCAGCTGAGGAAAGCCAAGCTTCGACTCTGCACACGACTGTTTAGCCCAAGCACTCGAAGCTCCATGATTCCATGCAAACGCGGTGCAAGCGGAAACCGCTTCACCAGTTGATCTACGAAATGGTTGAACGGAGCATCGACCGTCGCGTTGAAGTCAGATCTGAGGATGTGCTCCTGTAGTGGTCGAAACCGACATCGTGCGGAAATGACGCCCAATTCTGAGGCACGGTTGAACATGCCTTTGATTTTTCTGCAGTCGCCCTGCTGCTGGCGGCAAAGATACAATGTGCCACTGCTGTTGCAAACTGTACTGAACTTTACTCACTACCGCTGCCCTGCCAGGTTCCCTCTGACTGCGAAAAGGTGCTTGTGTCCCAGCCAAGCCACTATCAGGTCATCAAAGCTGCTTTGATCCGTGACAAAATCTAGCCATGCCCTTGAATGCCGGCTGGATGCCATGATGTCCTCACATTCCCGCCCAATGTACAAACTGGGCAGACTATACAGCTCAGTGTTTAGGAGCTTAGTCCTGCATGTGGAAAGCCCGGAACCCAAGTTTGCGCAGCGCTGCACGCAAGCTGGTGGTGCCTGAGAGCTGGTGATAGCTTGCGGCTTGCAACCAGCTGCAACCCAGCAATGCAACGAACAACATGTTGGCATCGCCTATGTTGTGCGTGCCGTTTCCTCAACACCCCTCATACTCCAGCAGACAGTGATCGCTCAGCAGCTCGAGCAGCAAAGCAGGAAAAACCCTGGGATTGCTGCCGAAGCCACCCGTTCGAGGCATTCCGGCGCCTATCACGTGCAGCTGGCTGAGTCCACCATCTGAACCGTCTGCCAGGCTGAACAACAGAAGCAGCACCTGGAAAGTGCATAGATGTACGGATATATGCTAAACGAGCTAGACATGAAGCATTGAAATCTGTCCACGATGCGACCATGACGCGAGCGACAGTGGCAATGACGTGCGCGTCGCCGAGTCATTCCCCATTCTCAAAAGACACCAGTTAATGAAGCGCCATCCAGAAACAAACCATGCTTACATCCGGCAACTGCGCGTCTTTGCGCGCCGCGCCTTTAACGGCTGCGAGGGTGCAAGTACAAACAACACACACATCCTCGGAATCTCAGGCAAGCAAGTAAGGACCAAGCTGTCCGAAATCTCATCCTGCAAAGCGTTGGGAACCGCGTCTGGCCACAACAACAACAACCCGCAGAGCTGAACAGCACCTCGTCCAGCCCACAGCATCCTCCGGACAAAGCTCCCAAGCCTGCGCAGCCAGTACGTACGGCACGCGAGGGCCGTTCGTGGTGTCCCAAGCTGTCTTGTGACGACATGGTATTCGACATCCTGCAAGGCATCTAGTCACCGGAAGATACCGGAAGCATCGCAAGCATCTTTTCCCTTGCAGCATTGTCCAGATCAGAGTCCTCGTCAAGGTCAATAGTTCCTGCGGCGGTTATCGCTGCATGGCCGGTGATTGTGTAGCTACCGGGTCGCAAAGTTCAAAGCCATAGAGAATCACTCACAAAGTTATGCTGCAGCAGAAGCAAGGGCCTCTCAAGGCCAATTACCTTGTCAACTCGTTTCGGCTGTCCTTCAACGTCACAAGATCTTCCCTGCCCATGCAGAAGGACCTTGACGTGAAGTGTTAAAGCATGAAGCAACAGGAAATTGCGGTGGGACTTACTTATCTTTCAGCCTCGCAGATCTGCATACTGATGAATGCAGATCGAAAGGCTCCAGACTTCCAAGCATTTGCTTGCAGTCCTGCAAGGCCAACGCTTTCTGGCGCAAGGGAGCGAGCTGTGAGGAATGAACAATGCAAGTACAGTGCAAGTATCAGTACAATCTTTGAGAGCTGCAGTCTGCTGTCGGTAAGACCAAGACTTTGCACATGACAACGCCTTCATGGTGCGTCTGTCGGCGTGCGGAGGCCCGCTCGGGAGTGCTGGCTGCAGACGGCGAGGAAGCCTGTTTCGCTAGTTGAGACATGAAGAAAAAATTATCGGCTCAACTGCACCGATCTTGTGCATCACGCACGGTCGTGGCCTGTGCTGCAGCTCTCTTGCCGGCCACCCCGCCGAATAGATCCGTGGCCCAAACAAAGCTTGCACCAGCTGCCTTCGCCGCGTCCTGGTCCTCAGAGTATGAATGTGACAGGGTAGTGTGAGTCGGCGGGACGTCTGGTGTGCAGGCACAGGATTCCGCACGCTCTGCTCCGATGACAACAGTCTTCGCGCATGGCACACCTGGGAACTCCGGCTCTGACTCACGGCAAGCGCCACAGCACTACATCAATGGCCACCCGGTAAGCCGAACAAATATGTGGCGCAATCGCTGCGCATCTGTGAAAACCGGAAGGTGCGCCAGAAGTGGATGCAGGTTACTCAAGGGCAGTACTTGTAGCACATGAGCAGCAAGAGAAGCATCAGCAGCAGCAGCAGACAGCAGCATGGCGTAAGCCAATAGATCACCGAATTGCAAAACCTGTGAAATTTCCGGATGTCCTTCAAGAAACGGGCGCCATCAATGGCACGAGCAAGGCATAGCAATGCCCTAGACCCTAGACATGGCCAGACTTGAATTCTCTTGGGTAGCCCTGTGTTGAAGAACTGCGCTCCGGTCGAGCAAATGCCAAAGAAACGCGTGCCAGAGGAAGCAAGCCGCAAGAAACACGCACACAAATAGGGAGGGCACCCAAACCAAAGCTTGACACACCATACTTCAATGGGCTAGACTTGCAGTTTGAACACAGGCAAGAGGACATAGTTGGCCGCCCCTGCTGCAAAGGAACCGACATCTGCCATGGCCTGCTTGATCATGCCTCCCGGGCCGTTTGGACTGGGCATCAACACCCGTTCAAGTCACGTGCTCTCGGGACTGCCTGTACCCGCAAGCACCCTCAAGCACGCATCAGGCCTGGTGCCGGTTTTACCCAGTCCTGCACAGGGTCTCCGACACATACATCTACACACATAGTGTTGAGTCTAAGCCTAAGACCTCCAGAGAGCAAAGCTTAGCACGTCTTTGCAGTCTCCTTTCGCCAGCTGCCCTCCGCATCGCGGCCCGAAGGTGCGAGGCCCCAGCGGCCGGAGCGCGCCCGGTAGCGAAAGCTCAGAAGCGACCGAAATGGCCTCCAGCTCAGCGACTTCTCCTTGGCTTGGCTGAACTGCGAAATAATTCAAGTGCTCCTCAGGGCAGGCGCGGGTCGTTGCTTTTAGCTGCGCTGGCCTGATCTGCTAGATTCTGCTAGGTTTCAGCAGCATTGTGAGACAGGCTCCGGCTGCAGCCAAGTTCTAGTGACATGGTGGCTCAGCAAGCCAACTAACTCTCCAAAAACGATGGAGAAAAACGTGAACAGCATGAAGCATGCGATGTCCTACCGTAGGAGTCGACCGATCCACATCCTCAAGCAGCGGTCACTTTCTGATCCATACATCGCCGTCACTCCATACTATGGTTGCTTGCGCTTCGAAGGAAACTCGCCCAATGAATCGCGAGCCCTGCATATACATGGACAGCGTCCGCGAATCATCTTCATAGATGCTCACGTATGCCTCATCAAAGCCCCAAACCCTATTCCAAATAAGGCGCCCTTCCACAAGCTCACCGACAGGCTTGCCATCTTTCTTGCGGAACCATCCGCCCTCCAGAGCTTCCAACAAGCTGCTCTGTTTCAGCTCTGCCTTGTGGCATTCACATTCGGGAATGCAGGGAGAGAGGATGGTTTCCCGGGCCAGCATGGAGGCGTAGCTCCGAAGCCTCTCGCGGCCCAAAACGTCGCTAGGCTGGACATGGCAAGTGCCCATGGCTTCGAAGCGACTATCTGAGCTTCTCGTATGTCTGGGCTTGAAGTGGAACCAACTGAAAACAGCCGTAGTCCACGGTAACATAGCATATACGAGCAGACTGACTAATTAATGCAGCATGGCGCGTTACTGCAAGATGCCCCCATGTGAGCAAAGTCAATAAACACACTGCTGGTCTTGTGCTTGGCAAGAAACTAGCTAGCCCATTGCTTGAGCTTCTGCCTTCAGCAAGGCAAGGCATGCGTATTCCAGGCGCGACGATTGTTCTGTAACGGAAACGTGGTGTTGATGTGCGTGTGTGTGTGTGTGGGTGGGCATGCGTAGCAGGGCTGCAAACAATCGGCAGAGTGGCATATCGGTAGATGGTGCAGAGTGAGCTAGCTGATATGCGCTGATGTTCCTACCGTTCTATTTGCTCCCCTGGCTCACGTTCTGAAGCTTAGCCCAGGCAGCCATCATGCTGTGCTTCCACGATGTATGTGATTGCATGTGCACCCTACGACGACTGGTGGCGTTTCTCAACTGCGCGCAGCACGCATCTCCATCCGCACCAGGACTCAGGTTTGAAGATTGAAAACCGCATGTTTATCCCTTCAACTTTCCTGAACGGGCTCCGCTGGTTCGCGGTGATGCTCTTCGGAAGACGCCCGCTTCATGACCTGCTTAGAAAAACTCGGGAGTCCCAAAGAATGTCGGGATTTCACGCTGGCCTCTTCCAGTAGGGTCACGGCGGCCTGAACTCTGCTTTTTGCCTCGGCCTCCGTGGGCTTCGTGGCAATGCCAGGATCGCCTTCGCAAGTGCAAAGCGAAGGCCATGCGCACCAAGCAGTCACGACCCGTCGTAAGTCTCGGTTAACGGCTAACCCAAACTGACGGAAGACTGAGAGTGCACAACAGTCATCGTGATTCCGTGTGCCTGCGGCAAAGCTCTCCAGCCACAGGCGCAACCCGACTTGGCTTTGGTCACTTGCGATAACCACCTGAAGGAGGTGCACCAGCGCATACAGCCCTCGCACATATGCGAACTCAGCAACTTCGGATCTCCCAGACTGACGGTACTCCCACAATCTCAATGCCACCTGTGGGGGATCTGCCAGAGAAGCCAACGACAAGAAGAAGGCTTCCACGTTGGGGCGGAGCTGGAGCTTCCGAGCACCTAAGCCGAGCTGCAAGCTACCAGTTATTTCTGCGAAGCAACCCGGAAGCAAAATGTATCCTTCACATAGCGGCATAGATCCTGCGCAAGCGAGCAGCGGGTCACGAGTACTCCCTCGAGCTCGAAGATCAGCAGCCTGCAGCAAAGCTTCGGTAGAAGCGCAGGGCAGGCACTTTGGCGTGTGTCCAGGGACGGCTATGTCCGGCCTGTATCCAGCCAGGGCAGCCGCGGCAGCCCCAGCATGGGTCTCTACGGCTGGCGCCGCCGGGGCAATGCCATGGCTCAGGACGACAGGGTGCGAGAGCAGCGCGCCCGTCCTGCACGCGTCAGAATCTCGAAGCTGCCCGCTGCTTCTTATAGTCCAGATGCCTCGACTCAAAGTCTTCCAGCCAGGCCAGGAACTCCCCAGGCTCCGGGAACACTGTCCAGGAAGCCCGGGCTTTCACCGCCCATGCCTGGAATCAATGACACTGCAGACGTGTAACTGTTACCAGTCGTGAGGGAAACGAACTGTACGGCCTGTACTGTACGGCTCCTGCATGCTATCTGAAGTGGCTCGCTGAGTCGGAATATCTCGGAATTTTCGACCGCCTCCCATGATTCCTGTGTGGCTTTCAGGACCAGCTTTCCACACCAGTTGAAGTAAAACAACGAGTGGACAAACAAAACGAATCGAACAACCCCCAGAAACTGGCAACAAGGCCAAAGCCCGTTTGACGATTGATTCTTTTTTCTCGATATTCTTCTGTTGGGACTCAGGCGTTGAGCCTCACAACGAGATTTTAGCCAGTGGCCTCCCTCTGCAGCCTGCGATTTGAAACGAAGATGGGGCTTAGAATCGGTTGCCCGATCTCCTATCTCAGAGCTCCGATTTGTCCAACGCTTTTGGTTCCATAGCCATGGCACTCTCAAAGACTTCCTGCTCGCGAACAGTGAGTAGTTTGTTTTCCATGCTTGTCCTGTGCTGGTCGGTACTTGGAGGCTGCATTGAATGAGTGCCAGCAGGACGAGTAAAGCGAGACAGATTGTGGCAGCAGCAGCAAAACGGCACACAACACGTGCCATTGCAACAAAGAGATAAGTCTGGCCCAACAGAACAATACAGAAAGAGCTGGAGGATAAGATTCAGACCGAGTTGCCAAATCGCCATAACATCCAGGAAGACGGCAGTGGGCGATGACAAAGGGTGCCACCACTTCGACGTCATATTCCAAGTTCAAATGCCACTGGAGACTCTCCAAATGGCGGGAATGCTGGGATGCGTCCTTGGAAGTGGCAGCTGCAGCTCCACACTATAGACTATAGAATCTGTAGAATGCTAGCTATATCTCCAGATTTGCAGCTGGCTTGGCAGCCGAGGAACGGCCACCCAAATGCCACCCAAGTCTGCAAGCTTGGTGGCGACATTTGGGGACGCCAATATCGTGTTGCAAATGTATGGGGTGAAAACCTTGCATGATGCATCGCACCATGAAGATGGTGTAGGCTACAGCACCGGCACTTCGCAAAGAGGCGAGGCGCTGTGTCCTCCAGATCCAAGAAGAAGCGAAGTAGAATCGTCCGACCCGCCATGTCTTCGTTACCGAACATGCCAGTGATGATTCGTAAATCTGTTGGGCGGACAGCCTTAAATCCACAAAAAGAATGAGGGAAAGTGTCAACTCAGGCCCCTTCCGAGTTCCAAGCCTCCTGAGCTATCGTCTTAAAGCAGGCAAAGGAAGGCATCAAATCGCACCAAGGCCCTGCTCTACAGACACGTTAACATCCATACTCTCCCAGGTGAGCGGCGCTCGCCGTGAGCGATGCCAACTTCTTGACAGAGTCGCACTGCCGCTGTACTTCAGTGGCATCCTCGCCGGCGTGGAATACGGTCCTCTCTGCGCATGTGGGCAGCCGGTCACAACCACATGTGGTCCTGTCCGTCCTGTCCTGTGGAATGCTGCTGGGGACCAGGGCTTGTCCGTTTCCAGGTACTTCGGCCTCAGACATCTGTGATCCAAAGACGCAGTTGTAGAAGGAGCGGGGGGTCCTCTTGGTGTCTTGGGTTCCCGGGTGTGTCTTGTTTGGGAAACCCAACAAGATGAATGTTTCTGCTGAACGGCGCAGGGAGATGGAACGGCAAAAAGCAGCGTTGCGGTGGCGGTGAGATGTAAAGGATGCCCAGCTCCCAACTGCCTCAGACCAGCGGCGAGATTAGAGACTACAGAAATGGATGTTCCGGACCTCTCACATCCAATATGAGACTCTGGAAAGTTCGGCTGCTAATGGCGGCTTCCAGGTGAAAGCAAACTGCAGACTGGCCGCTGATACGCAGTTCCTCTTCCACCTCGGCTAGGCGAAGGTTCAAACCTGCCGAGTCATGTCTTCTTCAGTGAGCAGTCGACAGCAATCCACCTGCACGCCCCATGCAGCCGCGCTCAGGTTGTGAGAGCCCGCGTAGACCCATGCAAGCTTTGAAGGATCTGATGCCGCCTGCAGCATTGACCAGCTCGCTTAAGTGACTAACATGCTGCAGAATTCACTGGGCAGCAAACCCTTCCTGCCTCTGCGACCATGACTTTGCTGTGCAGCAACACATGTTGTGGGCGTCTCTCTGCCGGTCGCAAGACATGGAGTTGCCCTGAGCTGTGGCATGCTGCAGCTGTTGTCATCGACTTTCGATCACTGCTGCTCTTTGCACATGACTGCCTCGAGGCAGATTGTCGTGGTCATCGAGGCAGTAGTTGCCTGTTTGGGCTCCGAAGGCGCAAAGCTTGCAGTGGAATGACCTATGATTCGGGACTGTGCTTCGACTCACGGACTAGCCACGGTCTCAGTATGCTCAGCATCCATCCGCACCGTCCAGTGATGCATGACTCATCCCCAGGCCCCAGTCGGAGGCTCAGGACTTTTCACACAACGAGGAAGTGAGACAAACTTCAAACGAAAAACGAAAAGGACAAACACAATGACGTGCAGCGGACAGACTCACGCACAAACAACGAAACATACAGTGAGACAAGAGCAGTAGGTCGGTATGTAGGTGACAAGTGGTTGAAGGCCAGTCAAGAGCTGCAGGAAGGCAAGCGAACCGACAGACACACAGCGAGACAGACCGCAAGGGCCGTATGTAGGTGGCGGGTGACAGAAGGACATGCAAGTGCAGGTCCACATGCAAACAGGCGGGCAGATGCGGGCAGGAAGTTGTGCGCGGTCGCGAAGTGGGAAGACAAGCGGATGGGTCGAAAGCCAGCCTGGAAACAACAGCAATATGCGCCCAAACGCATGCATGAACGGATGGATGGGTGGACAGGTAGATAGACAGATTCACCTACAGACATACATGCAAGGTTACACGGACAATTTTCATTCACGCCTGTAGATACGCTTGTATGTACTGTATGCATGTATGTACATCTTCTGTCCGGCTGGCGGTCTGGCTGTCTGACCGTCTGTCTGGATGTCTGCCAGCCTGTCTGTCTCCGTCTATACCTGCCTGTACGTACGTATTTGTGCGCGCATGCGCAACATGCAAAGATTAAAACCATCATATGTGTGTCACTGCGAACGGGAAAATTAAACTTTTTGCAACTGGGCTCTTTGTGTCAGCCAGCGAGTCCGCCCATGCTCTAAAGCTCAGCTCCGCTATGAATAGTCTACTATTCATTTTTGAGACTGGTTTTCACGAATAGATCTGAGGATGAGCCAGTTACAGAGGCGCTAAAGCTGGTGATCTTTTCGGTGCACCAGAGCAACAAGATGGATCCAAAAAAGGCTACATATCAAGTAAGTTCGCTGAAGCTACCAACGGGTGGGTCAGGAGACACGAGACTTGAGCAAGTTTTCCGAGGTTTATGACACGGGACAAGTACGGTCCGATGCAGGAGCAATAATAAGAACGAGAAAGAAACATGGGGAGGTAACAAAACGTCATAGCAAAGTAGTAGTCGTCGTCGTGGTGGTGCCAGTGGTAGTGGTGGTAGTAGTAGTAGTAGTAGTAGTAGTAGTAGTAGTAGTAGGCACGCCCCCCCCTACCAACTACACTTGCTCTCAACCATGTTAAGACAACATCCATTTTACTCAGTATTTACGGCACTTTCGTCATGTGCGATCATCCTAAGAGGCCTAAAAATCGACGTCGAGTTTGCAAACTCGGGCTCTTGATTTTGGACTTGCTTCTGGGGGTGGGTGGGGGGGTGGGGGGGGGGGGATGATGACGACAGTGTTACGCGAACACACCCAGCAGTATCACCACAAGAGCCGTTTAACTCGGTATTTACGGTACTTTCGTGATGTCAGACTTTGTTACATATTCTGAGCCCCTACTTCTCGACTATGCGTATTAAACTTTGCTGTTTGGAACTGTTTGCAAAAAAACTCGAAATTGGGTGGGGGAAAGCTTCTTCGGGGATGATCACGACACTGTTTTGCGGACACCCTGAACAATATTTCCACACTCAAGCGCGCACACACCACACACACCAATTCAAAAACAGACCCTCCTACGCAGAGGTTGGGCGGTAGGGGTGTTGGCGAGCCCCCTCCCACGTACAGCTGGCATCTTTGTTTTTGATGTTTAGAAGATGTTGCGCTTCAGGTTTTAGAAATGTTAAACCCTTCTTGGCAGCACCTGGGTTTTGCACGGTATTTACAGCGTTTTCGTACTATCCGACCACCTGGAGTTTATCAGTTTCTTCCCCGTCGAGCTTGCAACTCCAGCTGCTGTCGCAGTTTTGGGGCCTGAGCCCCTGCAACTTCACTGGCTGTGACAGTTAAGGAAACTGAGCCTCTGCAACTTCTGCAGCTGTCACATATAAGGAGCCTGAGCCCGTGCATCTTCTGCAACTATCGCAGTTAAGGCGCCTAGCAGCTACCGCTGCCCAGCCCGGATGGAACGAGTGTAGTTGGGAGGGGGGGGGGGGTGGCTAGTAGTAGTAGTAGTAGTAGTAGTAGTAGTAGTAGTAGTAGTAGTAGTAGTAGTAGTAGTAGTAGTAGTAGCAGGAGTAGTAGTAGTAGTAGTAGTAGTAATTAGTAGTAGTAGTAGTAGTAGTAGTAGTAGTAGTAGTAGTAGTAGTAGTAGTAGTAGTAGTGGTAGTAGTAATAGTAGCAGAGAAAACCAAGGGAAAGGGAAGCCTCAGCATGGCTGGGCTCGGCCTCGACCGACAACGCCCTTCTTGAGGGCTTGCCTCTCCGTGGGCCAGATGAGCTTGAAGTCCGGACGTCCTGACCTGCGTCATTCCTAGGCCTCTCCCCTCCACTCCTCTCCGCCTGTATGTATGTATGTATGTATGTATGTGTGTGTATGCATATTTGCTCCTTTCAGGGTCCATAGAGCTGAAGGTGAGCTGCTTGCGAACTTCAGTCCTGAGGCCTGCTCTTTTTTTCGTTTCACTTAAAGTAGATGCAAGCCTGTCGGCTGCGTCCAAACCAGGACTCAACGCCCCGAAAAGCGAAAAAGCGAATGTACGTGTAGGTATATATATATGTGTGTGTGTGTATATATATATATATACACACACATATTTATTGGCCTTTGCCTCTCTCTCTCTCTCTCCGTGTGGTCTGTGAGAGCTCCCCCTGCATGTGTGTTTGGCATTAGGGCGGCCTCTCAGGGTCGGAGATCACCTTCGTAAACTGGTCGAACCACTTCCCAGACCGGACCTGCACCGCTCTCTCGGATGGCGCAAGGCTGTCGGATATCGCGCACACACACACACACCATGGGGAGTGTGGCAGTGCTTGTCGCTTCTGGCGTAGCCACTATACCGACGACACTGCACTAAACTAAGCTATGCCACACCACAACATCCGTGCCGTGCCGGGTCGTGCCGTGCCAAGCCATGCTAGACCGCGCCATACCATGCCGTACGATACGATTACTGCTACTATTTCGATTACGACTCTTGCAAGGACAAGGCAAATGGGCACCGGCAAGCACTACGCGAAGCCTGAGGAAAATCGGAGCTGAAGCAAATCTGCGAAGTCTCAACTCTGAATACCCCTGACCCGCAAGCAGAGCTCAACAGGCCTGGCCACAGGAGGAGAATTGATACCAAACTCGGCTCCAGCGGCAGCCTTTGCTGCTTGCCTCGCTGAGCAGATGTCGAAGCCTCCCAAGCCCGAAGGAAGGGCTCCAATGGCGGCCAGGTACACTGGCAACCAGATGGACACCTCAGCATAAACCGTCTTAGATAAACTTATCAAAGCCTGACTTCTACTGGTAGGTCCTGTCATGTCCTGGCCTTCTGGCACTTCCAAGTCGTGCTTCGCAAGGATTCCCAGCCATTTCTGCCGTACTTTCTTCGCCAAGTTTGCACCTGTTCACAAGCTGAGGCAACACACGGCCGAGGAACCCTAAGGCCTTAAGGCTAGCAAGGGTTTGGCTTCATTTAAGCATTTGATCAAGCTGTCCTTTGGCCTTGGCTGCCAGTGTTGATTGTGAGCAAGCGGTCGACAAAGTCCCGAAGACAGGCCCCAAAGTCAGTTCTTTTCTTGCTTGGGTCTGCTGCTGCAAAGTCGCAAACCCAAATGCACTGCGAGATCTCTGAGAAACCAGCACGCGAAAAGTTCGCGGAGGACACCACAACTCGCAGCCGATCAGAGCACTGCAGCAAGAGCAACTTCGGATGCAAGACACCACCTCCAGGGCGCAATTCTTTCTAAATCGTTGCTGTCTCTGTCTAATCTGCAAGATCCCTGGCCGACCTTTGTAAGCTGGACCCTGCTCAAACATCGGCCGTATCAGCGTCCATTCGGCGAAGTCCTTGCCCAGCCCTTCACCAACTAGCGGTTCTGCACCTGGAGCTTCTCGAACATGGTCGTACTCGTCCACCAGGGTCAGAGTCTTTGGCTGACCAAATACAGCAACAACGTCTTCCCTGTTCATGCCATAGCTTGCCACCAGAACAGACTGAAGGCCCTGTCCAGCCACGATCTCTTCCAGGGACAGCTCTCCTTCTCGTGCCGCAGGGCCCTCGCGGCCCTCGGGGCCCTCGCGGTCGTCTGTCAGGTCACAGATCTCCCTGTGCTGCATGTGAGGTGCTAAACGATTGAAGAAAATCTCCGAGCCGTCGAACCAGCGAATGTTGCGCGGTGTGACGGTGTCCAGGGCCGCCTGTCGCAGCTGTCATGTTTCCATCGCTAGCCGCTAGCTGCCAAGACGAGCAGGGCAAATGCCGGAACAAGGTCTCACTCAGAGGGGCGGTTGGACTGTAATGCGTTTGTAACTGCGACTGCCTCACTGCGCACCCAACGACGGCGAGCTGGGCGAACGCAGCCACCCTTGAGCTCGGCGCATTGCCCACAAGAGGTCCAGAACACCTGACGACAGGGGTGGCAAGCGCCAATGCAAGAATTCGATGCTGAACTCGACGTTCACATATCAATGTCTGGCATGTGCTGAATGCAGCGACGACACCCTGCTCCCTGACCTTAGGCAGCGAAACCGAATCCAGCAGGCATTGCCGCAATACTGACTCTACCTACCTTTGACCTGGCAGTGTTGTCAGGCATGCTGCTCGCCGATTTCTGCTGTGTCCTGGCAGCCGACGCTCTGCGATGTCTCATGCGGATGCTTCCTCAGCAATTCTAGTCCTGCCCGGTCAAGTACGCCTCTTCCAACCTGGGCCGGCAACGTGGCTCCTCACTCTTGAACAGTGTCCACTTGTGCTACAAAAGCATACAACCACCGTCAAGCAAAATTTTCCAGACTCTTCATCCGATGCTGCCAAGGATAGTGAGGGCCTGCCACTTACCTCTCCCTTTTTTACCCGGTACCTAAAGGCTTGAAGCTGAATCGGGTGTTTGACATGCTGTGTCATGGCGCCAGCCAACGCTCATTCAAACTGCCAAGCCTGCTAAGCTACATGTGAGATTTGTTGCTGTCGGTGCAATGCCCGTCATGCTCTGTCTGCGTCGGAGCTTGCCGTGCTCCACCCTCGTTTCCCACATTTTTACGCGACCAGAAGTCCCTGCTGCCACTGTCGGTACTTGTATCGCTTGCACGGCCCAGAAACGCATTCTGGTCCGCATCGTTGTACTTTCGCCAACCAGCTCCTCCCCACCGCCATGCCTTTCAGGGTAGATCACCGCTTCAAGGTTGGTTGGGGGGGCAGGCGGAACGGAGGAACAGCCTCCCAAAGAGGCCGCCCAGTCTCTGAAGCATCCAAGCAGCGGCGCTTGGCAGCTGGCTCGACCATGCGAAAACTTACGAGAAAGCTTGATGGCTGCCGCCACTTGAGGTCCCGGGGCTGTCCTCCTGGTACTGCAGAGTGAGTCTGTCTGCTCTTATGTTCATCCTAAACGCATCAGACCTCTGCGAGCAGCTGCCTCTGAACCTTGTAAGCCAGGCTCACCAAGAGAGAAAGACGAAGCTGAAAAACAGCGTGTCACGTGACTCTATCGCTCTTTCTGGAACAGGACCACCGTGCCGGGCGGGGCTATGGCAGGCCTTCGCCCAGAGCGTCTCCGGCAGCCTTTGGCATGTGCAGCTTCCCAGGCTTCTCCCGCGCTGTTTGGAAGTCAGGGAGATGCTGTACTTTGGATACTTCAATCTCTTCCTCTCGGTCGGAAAGCATAAGCGGACGCCTCCCAATCCGGGAGCAGCATAGGCACTGAGTGCGGCTCCACAGCCTTGACAGGTGTCGGCGCACTCCGCTTCAAGTTCGCACTGTTTTGATGATCTGTGTTCACAAACTGAATCAGCCACACAAACTTATGTGTGTTGTCAGTCGCCTGCAGCATGCTCTCATCCTTCTCATTTCCCGCCTTTTGCTGCTCTTGGATCCTGGGAGCCTGGCCAGTTGCTTCTGATTGCTACTTGCCAGGGAGGGCTGATGAACTGCATACTCTTGGATGCTTCCCTGCGCAGCTGAGAATACGACACTAGTCTGAGGAACCATTTCTGGTGCATCTGCTTCTGCTTGAGGCATGTCAGCATCACGAGCTTCTGCCTCGCAAGGACTTCCACTGACTCGTGCGTCTTTCTCTCTCGCTCTCGCGGCGTGCCATCACTCGGTCAGGCACTACCCGTGCAAACTCGAGGCTGTTTGGGGCAGATGTAATACGAGACGATAGCCATCGGAACGGCCTCGGAGGTCACATCTGCCTCCGCTCTCTGCACGGACTCCAGAGCATCCGGCCTAAGTCGGCGCAAAAATTGCACCCCTCACCCAACCAAGTCACAAGTCTAGGCTCCACGGCGGAGGCCTTGCCGGAGGTGGCAAAGGCGGCGCAGGGTCCTCGACTAGTTTTTGACTAGTTTGGGTCGAGGCATTCCTGTCTACAACTCTAGAGCAAGCTCTCCTCGACCGTTGCCGGAAGAAAGCCCGATCGAGGAAGGGTCGAGATACTGCCTCGGCCCTGCTCGTCAAACACATGTTGACGACGCAAGCTCCGTGAATGCACAAGGTGAGGAACGCCGCTGCATAGCTGAAGTGCCCCTGCCTCTGCACTCCCTGGCACGTGTCGTGCAAGGCCACCCTGTTCTGGCCTGGCCAGTCCACAGGCTATGAAGGCAGGCATTCGCATGTTCCATGCAAGTCCGACTGCCCACGAGCCCTGAACTGGGGAGCAGACTGGATCTGGTCCTGCCGTGCCAACAAAAATCTGACGAACGAGCAATGAAAGTGTTCACTGAGGTTTGTTTGCGTGCATGTATGTGCATACAGCTGATGTACATGCAGAAGGGCGCAGATATGTGTATGTACGTATGTGTGTATGTATGTGTGTATGTGTGTATGTATGTATGTCATGTGAAAATACTAGATACATACATACCGACGTACATACGATCTTACATACATACACAACATACATGCATGCATACGTATGTACATGTACACATGACTATAAAGGTATATGTGTTTATCTATATACATATGTGTGTGTGAGCAGTCCATATGACAAATAAGCCCCTGCTCCACAGAATTGTCAGTGCATGCCTCTCGCATCTGGGATTGTCCACGAGGTTGTCGTTTCTCAAAAGAAGAGCGTTTGGGCTAACAGAGAGTGGGTCGTGCCTACTGATCAGGCACAACCGACCTTCCTGCCTGGAAGAAGCAAAAAGATCTATTCTATCTGATTTTATCGACTAACATGAAAGCAGAGAGTTGCTCTTTTCTCTAAGCAAACACAGTGCTGTTCAAAGAGAGCTGCCCCATCTTTAGCATCAGCTTGAAAGCTTGCATGCTTGGGAATGAACTTATGAGAGCTCTTCAGATTGTCTTCTGACAGCACCAGATTACCAGACCTGCGGCAGAGCTGGCGCACAGCCCCCTTCTGCTTGAGTCATCAGCACATCTTGGACCTTAGTGAATCGGGTATGCCAAAACGAGACACTTCTGCCAAGCGCAAGAGCCCACCCGGCATGCGTCTAGAAACGTAACTAAAAGCCTGATGTTGCCACGCGCATTGCTCTGGATGGCGCGCCCCTCCCATCTTTCGGGCGGGTGCTTGAGTAGAGTGAAACATGTCAGAGGTCATGTGCTGGACTTGGCTGCACGGAGCGCTGCGAGCTCGATGATTTCGAGGTTAAACTGCAAACTCAGTCTTCCTCAGACGGCTCGCTCTTGACTGCCGGCAGCCGGTTTCGCAGGCTCGGTTTGCGAGGACTGCAGCCACGCTGTCAAGGAGTCTCGGGTTGCGGATTTGGCCACCTCAGCCCGATATACAGCGGCAATAGAGGCGAACAAGTCTCAACCGGTTTGCGAAAGGGGCCTCCTGCGCCTCGCGGGAAAGCTCCGTCCCTGTGTTCAGCTCCAGCTTCAGTTCGACAGCATGCGGAAGATATGCGGCGAGGGCAGCCAAGCCGGCATCCGAGAAGGAATAGCCTCCAAGGCATGGCGGCATGACACTGGTCAAAGACATGACAGTACATGGCATATACGGCCAGGTGCCATGGCTTTGAGGTTCCGGCTCTGCATGAGCGTGAGGTCAAGCCGCTGCAGGGAGGACGGCAGGTTGGACGCGAAAGTGGCCAATGCGACATCACTGGCGTTGCCTTCACCCGGACATACAGCGGTTGGCAATCAGCGCTGATGATGGCACTCACCACAGCCGAAGTTTCGGACATGTGCTGCGCATGTAGAGAACTTGAAGCTAAAAGTGCATCATCCTGAAGCTTCCTTGCCATCCAAGCCGCCAACGTAGATTGTCAGCTTTGCTAGAAGAGTCTCGCGCAAATCCAGGGCAGCCAGGCCTGAAGCAGCATCGTGCCATTGGCCGCCTGCAGGGACCGGGAGCCCGACCGAGCCTCGACCAACCAAGCAGCTTTTCCCCACTGGGGTGCCTAACATGAGCGTGAAATCGCGAAGTGCTCCAGGCAGCCCGGAGGATAGGGCACTTGCACCGGCGCCAGAAATTTTGCCCAAGCCCCACCTTGCCGCGAAACTGCTGCACGAATTGAGAGGCAGAAGGACTGATCGACTGAACCCGTCAACTTGTGGTAAGGGTGGCTTCTTGGCCAAGCCACAAGCACAGATTAAGTGTGACCAGTCCAGATGGCAAAGCGCTCGCCAATCTTCCCAGCTCCTCGTCACCAAATGCCTCCGGACAATCCTCGCACCCCACTGCGCAGGTTGCGCACATGCTTCGTGAGACACCCATGCACGGGAATCAAGGCGACGTATTATAGGCGTAGTCTGCAGGAAAACTGGTTTCACGAGAGCGGTCCTGGAAGTCAAGCTGCAGTAGACGCAATCGCGGCGCACGGCTCAAGCCAGAGATCAGAAGGGGCAGAACGATGTCCAGCCTTGACAGGACAGGCACTGACCAAAAGCAGGGGCGAGACTCTACCGTGCCCTGGCCCTGGTGTTCGTGCAGCGATGCGCACAAGACATCTCACAATTATGAGAGAAAAAGGGACTCATGGTCCATGGGTGGACCGAGTCATCCGAGTCTTGAGGTAGTTTCAACGGGCTCGCTGACGCTGGCTTGGATCCTTTCGTGTCTGTTAAAGCCCACACACAGAGTATCGCAGACCGGTGTGAAGGTGAGGTTGTAGAGGAAGTCACGAAACTGCCACGCAGCTGGACCAACCCGTCGAAAAACCCTTCTACTCATGTGGTGGTCGTCTTGAGCTGAGCGGCTGGTCCTGACTGACGATGGGCAGAGCGAGGCTTCCTCCGTCGGCTTGCTCCGGAGCCTCGATCCTTATCGGAAGGACGTCTGAAAAGCCACGAAGGGCAGACAGTACTTCTGAATTCTCTCTGTCTTCTTGGTCTGGTCCTATTCGGAACAGGGTATGCAGTGGCTGCAGACGCAGCATCAGCAGAAGCAGTGGGACGCATCGCCTCGACTGAAGTATTGTCATAGCACTGGCCGGGATCTCGAAACTCTGTCGTTCCTGTTCCAACTCTGTGCTCTCCATCTCGGCTTCTACGTCATCAGGTGTCGGTTCCTTCGTCACGGCATCCTGCAGGAGGCTCGCTGAATCGAACAGTCCGTGGTCACCGTCTGCTGGAGCGGCGGGTGCTACTCGGCAATCCTGCTACTGCACAGCACGCCGACATGGCTCCAGATCCCTGAAAACGATTCATTCCTGCCCTGCCAGTGGAGCGGGAGCCTGCAGCCATTCTCGCATGTCATCCAGATGCCTCTCTGCCACGTTCCTCGCCAGATCTACTATGCACGATTTACGCACCTCGATGGCGTGCTTCCACCACAGACTCAACTCCCACCTGGCCGCGGGAGACAACGTCCGACAAAGGTGAGGCCGAATAGTTGCTTTCTTCACGGAGGGAGGCAGCGACGTGACGACTGCAGCAAAGCCGGCATCGGTCAGCCTCACATGCTGGTGTGGCCTGTGTGCTTGTGTGCAAGACATGCCTCCTGCATTCAAGCTGCCAGTCTGTCTGTAGTAGAACAAGTTCAACTTCCTGGACATCAGCCGGCAACTTGAAGAGGGCGGCTAGCCCCGCATCCGTGAGCGGCTGGCGGCCCGCAAGGACTATCTGGAGGCGCAAGGAATCGAGCGGCATGTGTCCGAAAATTGGCTTCTTTATGGGCAATGGCAATGCACTTCAACCAGTGAGCATGCCTTCAAGCATCGCAGCCGGCTTGGCAAGTGGTCTCCCAACGCCGCCAAGCCAGAATCGCTGATTTTTGAACAGTAGTTCAAGTCCAGTCTCAACTCCCGCAGCGCAGTGGGCATTCCGGAGGCCTCGGCTTGAGTAGTTGCTGCCCTGGACACCCTTTTTTGCAACTGGGCTTGGGGACTAGCCAGAAAACCCTAAACCCTAAAGATCCCTAAAAACCCTAAAGGTCCCTGAACCCCTGATTGGCGACTGGCGTCCAAGGCAGCCAGGCCAACATTCGAAACGCCGCTCTGGGCCAGGCCCAAGTCCAACTTTTCGAGGCTACGAGGGAGTCGTGCAGCAAGCCTGAGAAGGAAACGGGACGTCCCATTTTCATGCACACAGTATATATGAGGGCAGCATGCAAGTATCCAAGCACGGTTTTAGAAAGACTACGACGTGCAACCATATAGCTAGCTTTATTTACCACTGAACACTTGCGTATGCATCCATGATTCCATGAACATACATCCTTCCCAAAAGATGCTGATAGCGGTGATATCGACGGCTAAGGTTGTTTAGCAGCGGGGGTGGTGGTACCCCCTCTCGCAGGTGTTGTTGTCGGTCGGGCTCCGAGGTTTGTCGATGCTCTATGATTTCCCAATCCTTAATCCTTTGGGATCTTTGGGGCACACATGGGGTTTTTGGCTCCACTTCTTCAATTTTGCCCGCACCCCAACCCTCTCACCTGCCGGCCCCTAGTCCTTCCCTTATGGGTTTCTCAGCCCTAGCTTGGGCTTTCGACTCGAGGCGTTAGAGTGGTGGTTCGTCCTCAACGTGCTCCTTCGCCGACTAATACCCTGGAAGTTGCTTGTCATGCCGTGTCGTGCAGTCCTGCACATGTATCATATGCGGCTCCATCTGTTGAGATGCAGAGGTCTAGATACAGGTAGATAGGCATTCCTACAGATTGTCAAGCCGGTACGCCACGCGAGAGCTGGCTGCAACTACTGGTGCAGCCTTCTTCGCTTGCAGCTATGCTGAAGTTCTGCACACTTAAATCGTTGGAAGTCGAAACTGAAGCATATCGCTTGTCATGGATATAGCATTAAACTGCGGAGGCCAGCATTTCGAGCTGAGTGGCGCGGCCATGCCCTTGTTGGAGATGCCCTCGCACATCATGAAGTTCATGGAGAGAGCCCTAAGGCCTGCCACACATTGGAAACTAAAGCCACGTGGCCCACCACAAAAACCAAATGCCATGCTGGTATGGTTGCGTCAAGAGGTCTTCCTGGGCACAAGTCCAGCCTTTTGGCAAATGCTGGGCAAATGCTTCCAGCCCACGACTTGTAATCTTCGAACAGGTTGAACAATCCACTTTCAGTGATTGCAGCTGTTGCGACAAACTCCTGCCCGCACCTTCGAAACTTGGAACAGCGAATATGGAGCAGAAACCGCAGGCTCGAATCGAGCGGCTCGAATGTGGCTGCACTAGATTGGAAAGGGGTGGGCAGAGGAAGTCTGCCAAGGCACTCTGCAAAGCCCAGTTGTCTGCAGTCGGCAAGCGACTGAGGTCGAAGATCAAGCTGTCCCGCCACCGATCTGCTGCAAGGCAGTGAGCCACGTTGGCCATGAAGGAGGAGGACTTAGCTGACCGTGAAACTGATGCCGGCAAGTGTGTCTGAGACCATGTCAACGTCAAGCTACTCATGGATGAATCGCATCGAAGGCTACATCGAGTCCAACCGAACCTGACAACCCTTCCGTGACAGAAGGCCCGGCCGCCACGATAACAAGCAATGGGGTAGGAAGGACTGATGCCACCCGCCATTGTCCAACGGCACGGTGCTGCTGTTTATTTTAACAGGGGCAAGCGAAGCACCACCCTCCATGTTCGAAGGACTTCGTCTTGAACTCACTAGTTGCAGCTCGCGATGATTTTGCGAAAGCGACCTCTGGGTTTCAGCTCCGTCACCTGCGAGACTGCCACCTGGTCCCAGGCCGCCTCTGCGAGAACTGCACGAAGCCGGATGTTGACTTCCTCCTCAGATAGACTAGAAGCTCGGTCGGTTCACGTGATTCCGTTGCAGACAGTCTGTAGCAAACACTGTTGGCCAGCAGGGCTTCATACTTGGGATGGCTCTCGTGCGGCGGCTCGTCCAAGCCAGCACCAGTGCGGCCCACGAAGCTGTTCAGGATCCGGCGGCGGTCGATATCCTTATCGAGTGGGAAACGTCTGCATCACTTCTGCTTCGAGCCTAGGCATGACATCGATTTCAAAGCATGGATAAGCTCGCCCAAACCGAAGGACTCGAGATGCTTGAGCATGATGCAGTTCCAACTTCAGGCCGTGCTCGACCACTTCCGAAGGAAAGCACATCTGTCGCAAGCCCTTCCTTCCGTTCCACGTGATAACCGGGATAACGTCGCAATGTGTCAGGACAGTTCATTGCAGATGCTGACGACGCTGACTAAGTCAAGTCAAGGTGCAGCGACTGCGCCAGTGCCACTGAGCTCGGGCTGAAGTTGCCCAACTCCTGGTGCTGTATCACAAGTCGCACCAGCCAGGCTAGAAAACTTACGTGAGAATGTTGCACGCACCATGACTGCCAGTAGCGAGGAAACGTGAAGTGCCACTCCCTGCTCTTGCAGCCGTCCTGGAGCCTTGCTTCTCCCGCGCCAAGCCCATCCGTCAGTAGGTAGGTGGTCTTGTCGTGACGACAAGATATATCCAGCAGCATGGCCTGCTTGCGCTGCACAAACAGGTCGACACATCATCGTGCCCGCGACATTCTGGCTTGGCCTCTTCCCGAGGTCGGTCAACGAGAGCAACGTAAGCTTCGAAGGCGCACCAAATCCCTGAGAACATCTGAGACTAAAAAATTTGCTGTTTTCCAGAGGTATGAGGAAGACTCTGGCTCTGATCCACATACATGCCATGTGCCAGGATGCGTGTAAACGGAGTTGCTGGGCCCACCTTGTCCAAGAAAGACAGGCTCGAAAGAAGCGGAACATCGCAATAAAAATCGACTGAGTTCATTACGGACAAGGCCGGCCTCATCCAGGATGATGAGCACGCCCTTCGACAAGCACATCGCCTGCATTCTCACAGAGGCAAACAGGAGCACCTACCAACCAGTGCTAGCAGCTTGACATACGAGTTGCACTAGTTGGGTGGATGCCTTGTAGAAGCTGGTTTGTGATGGATCGGTGACGAGTTCATCCTGCAAGGAGTGCTGCCTGTTCGCGTAGGCACATATCCAATAGAGGTCCTCAGCCCGAATCCCAACAGTGTGCACGGTTCACAGCTTCAAGACTTTCAGCCTTCAGCCGCCCCCCCTCTACTGCCGGGTGGCAGTTTCTCGTAAGGATTGGTGTACTTCCACACAACTCACGAAGTCCTGAATGGGCTCGCCCCACCTTGCTACGGGACACTTGGTGCAGCATGGCGCGGCTGCATTTTCGTTCATTGTTGCTCATGGTTTCACATGCTTGGCTCTCAACTTTCGGGAGCAAAATTAAAGCCTCTCGTTCGGGACATCTGGCCTTCAGACTAGACCGCAACCTCTGTGATGAGGTGTTGAGCTAAGCCACCAATGACTGCAAAACCAGTGGGGAATTTGATCGCCGTCTGCCAGGAGCCTTGGCCAGCTCTGACTTCCTGCTCATACAACCTCAACATTCCAGACATGTGCAGTCTGCTAGGGAGCTCCACGAAGCTGCAGTTGTCGACGTGAGTGGCAGGAAGGATACACCATGCGCACATGTGGTACAGGTTCAGGACGTCCATGTGGAGTATCTGGCCCGATGTTTTTGAATGTTCAGGTGGGGCGAGATCACGCCACAGCTCGCAGTTTTGCTCCGCAAACGTCTGGATGTCCTGCAACCTGGCGGAACAAGCCTTGTCATCAGAACTCCCTCGTCTTAACTTCTTCTTGTTGCAGACCGCGGAACTGGGCCAAGGACAACCCACGGTTCTCCGTCTTTCCAATTTCAGCTCTCAAGGTGAACTTATTCTGCAGCCGTGCCATGTGGTCACGAAACTCCGCCTTCGACATCTGCAGCGTTGCCTGCCATGCTGCTTCCCATTGCTGGTGCTGCGATAATGCAGAAAGCTACTCGATTTTGGGGAATTGCGCAGGTCACTACGTGAAAACTGTCCAAATTCTATCGTCTGTGGCCTGCATCGACGCGGCACGACCTTCCACTGTGCTGAGATCATGCGGCCTTTCCTCAAGTCGCCACACTTGCACAGAGCACAGATCTGCAAACTGGCATTTGGAATACGGCAATGCAAGGGTTCACTTTGTGAAAGGGTGCCACTTTTCATGTGATGATCGATTTGCCAACGTATGCAACCAAGAGAGATCACAGCGGGATCACAGCGAAAAGCTCGAAGCCAAGCAACTGGCTCACTTGTGCTTGCTTCCCGGACTTCCTGCTCATGCTGTCGTGACGCCACGCTCGACGCATGATGAACCGGTCAGTCTGGCAATGTACTGAAACATTTCGGGATCTACGAGTAGATAGATGTGTCATGTAAACGGGTAGATAGATATACTCTCCAGCCTCTCTCCGGCCTTGCCTCAGCGCAGGTTCCGGCGCGGGACTCATCCGCCACGCCAGTGGCCTTCTTCGCCGCCGCCGAAGACCCAGACCCCATGGCGCGAGAAAGAACGGCGCAGACAACCTGGTTTTCGCGTCGGTAACCCTTCCGAATCTTTGCAATTGCTAGCTCTACAATGCGATCAATCTATTTTCCTGGTCGCCCAGCCTGCCCTCGTGACAGCGCGACCTGAGACCTCACCTTCTAATCTTGGAGTCTTGGCCATCCTGTCAACGCACAGGCTGAGTGCTGTGCTTGCTGCAGTGGCTCCACCGATGTCTGTTCCTCGCACGCCAAACGAGGGTTTCTTCCTGTGCCCTGCTCAGGACAACCGTAAAGTTTATGGTTCACGTGCGGAACCAGGAACAGAACAATGAGGTACCTGTAGCTGGGTCCTAGCCGGAGTCTACGACTTGGGCACAGTCCCCAGATGTCCCCAGCATGTTGTTGGTTCAGCAACGCATGCTACCCCACAGGTTCATCACATATCGTCTTCTTACATTCCTATCTGATTTGTCGGTCATCCCTGCGCAAGGGCCATGCATTTCTTCTCGGGCTAGGGGTGGCAGAAGAACACTTTGAATACGCACCGTGTCCTGCGCCGGGAGCAGAGCAGCCGCAGGACAGCTCGGGGCCAAAGCCTGCAAGGAAACGCACCCCGAAACCCCAAACCACGTTAGGCTAGCGGCTATTAGCCTGGCAGAGCTGGAGACGACAGCCGCTCTTGTTTTAAACAGCATCGCGCAAAGAGCCTGGTCTCGGTTCACATGAGTCTTGAAACAGAGATGCAATCTTGCCGTCACGCCGTCCTTCGGCCGTCCTCCCGAAACTTTCCAGCACCATCAACTGACGAAAATGCATTGAATGCCAAATGCCTACTTCCTGCGAAGGAAACAGCTGAGGCACCTCGCTGTGAACTCTGAGCTCTCATGCAACACGCTAGAATGCCCTGCTCTACGGCATCTCCGACTGCAACTTGTATGCAGCAGCAGGCCCGCGAAAGCAGTTGGATGGGCTTTGTTGAAAAATTAATTAATCAAACACTGAACGTTCCAGATTTGACACGCTTCGCCGCTAAATGCAATGGCAATGTTGGGCACCCTCCACTTTGTGGATGTGCTCGCATGCCGCAGATTGTACTAAATCGCTAGATATGAACGGATGTCCGAAAACCATATCATAAAGCAATAAAGCACAGAGCACTACATTTCACTACGGGTCGAGCCTCTCTCTCAGGACTAGACTTCTCTTATTCCCATCTGTAAACTCTAGAGCCCGGGACTACGATTTCAAAAAGCGCGGCAAAAGGTATTCCAGGACGGGCAGAGCGGCGGGCACTTCAAACACACCAGCTGACTGCAGAAGGCCAGCTCACAAAAGTGCCCTTTGCCTTCGTTCGTCAGTGTATGACACGAAACTTGCTCGTTGAAGATCCGGCCGCTGAAATCCGCTCAAATGTACAGGAAGCTGATAAGGCTGATGTGGCTGTGGGACAGGCTGGGAAGCAAAGCATCTAAGCACTTAAATACACAATTCCCCAGCCTCAGCTGGTTGCTTCGTCGCACGGAGCTGCGGGAAAATTCAGCTCCAACATGCCCTCTGTAAGCCAGCGCATCGTTGCGACAGCATCTACAGTACATAACCCCTCGATCTTCGTACTTCACGGCAAGCCAAATTGCGCATATGGCTCACACCCATCTGGCAGATTCAACCGTTTCAGCGAGTTCGGGCAGGGTACTGTAAGCGTAGGCGGGCACGCGGCGAAATTATGTTCGTGGGCAGGGTCCCTGATACAAAATGGGTTGCATATCTTCCGCCCACAGAAGGTGAAGCTGCAAGATGCCGGGGCGAGGGCTTGCATGGGCTTGCTTCATGCATCAGCCTCTCCGAGCGGAGCGAAAGGATGGAGACGAAGGAACCGGCACGACCCACGGAAATAACTGAGATTGATGAGCTGTGCCATTCGGCAGCATGCCATGTTAAGCAATCTCCTTAAGAATAGAAGCGAACTTGCACGTCTTGCACGCCTCTTTGGAACATGTTGCGAGTCATGCAGCCAAGAGCCCAAGCTCCAGCCAGCTGCACCTGAGCGGTGTCATGCGTCGTTTTTTGGCGATATATGGGCTGTAGCCCTATGTCTTCAAGAAAAGAGCACTTGTTCAGCTATGCCACGGAGGTCCCATCCCGTGTCCGCGGAAGACACTTCGCTAAGCGGACACAGCTCCTCAGTCAGAAGGTAGGTCGACAGACAGACAGACAGACAGAGGGGAAGATAGACAGATAGATAGATACATATGATGTAAGATATGGGTAGCTACATGCATACGTGCATACATACATATTCATACATGCATACACATACGCATACGCACACGTGAATATACATGCACATACATACATACATGCATGCATGCATGCATGCATGCATCAGGCCTGCATGCCTGCCTGCCTGCCTGCCTGCCTGCATACTTCTTCTTGGGAAGAGGGGGCGTCCTCTGCTACAGCTGGTACGGAAGAAACGGGAGAGAACCCGGCGAACTTTGCTAGCGAGGCGCTTGCCCAGGGATCAATGGCGTTGAGGTCCATGTTGAGGAAGCTGAAGCCGTCGTCATCGTCATCATCCTCTTGAAGAACTTTCTTCTGTGCACGGCTGGAGTCCTCGTACTCGATGCCGGCCTTGCCAGGAAGTGGAAAATATTTGTCGAGGAGAAGTCACCGGTGACTGTTGTATTCAAGCAAGGTGTTGAAGCTGCATAAACAATTCCCTGCCCATCGCCAACCCGGATCACCGAAGGGATTGCAACACGTCGACATCTCCAGCTGCTTAAGCCTTACTCATGCCCTTGCCTTGCTAGCACTGGGAATCGGTTGGCTTGGCAACTGCGGTAGGTCCTCGGACTTGGAGACCTGTTCAGGTCATTCAGGTTGTCAATCTCATGCTGCTAGCGGACTAGGGAAGTTTGAAGGCATGCGTACTTGCAAGGGCTAGGTTGAAAAGCGCCGGCGAAGCACACCTGAAACGCACCTTCATCGATCCACACATCAATGTTTATGGCCAACCCTTCACAGCCTTCGCCGCCCTGCTGGTCGGGTTTGGTCTTGCGGGCTCAAGAGTAGGAACCTGCGAGAGCTTTACACAAGGACTTCTCCCGCCCGAACATGCCCCCACGGAGATGCTCACACCTCGCTTTGACTAATTAATGCGCTCAAAAAGTATCACGCTGCCACGCACCTGAACCAGGGAGTGGCTCCGTCCCGGTCTGGCAGTTGGTATCAACGAACTGGACGCAGGCGGCTGCATGTCCTTCATTAAAGTCAAATGCACCAGCTAAGGAGCATATCAACCTCATGACCACCATTCGCCTGCAGCCGTCAATCGTAAGCCGTAAGCTATGTGCCTCCTGGACCGCAGCCGCAACTTCCAACCGTCGAGCCAGCGCAGCATGGCCCACCGTCGCCAGTTCCTTGACCATCCGGTGCCTTGGCGAGAAATCCGGCTGGTGGGACAGTCACACGGCCGATTCAAACAAGCCGCTGGTAGCTCCTTCTGCCATTCCGAACACGGTCATGCACCTTCAAGCGAGTTGGCTCGAGATGTCAAGCTCCCACATTCTTCTGGCATCCACAAGAGCGAGAACTCCCCAACACAACTAAACTTCCATCGCAAGTTCTTGTTTCTATCATCGGCATCATCTGGTTAACGGGGAACAGACGATTCCATACGCAGGCGAGGATGGTCAACCTCCCTGATGGCACATCTTTGCCATTCCTTGAGTGCAGTGCCCGGCCCGAACATCTGAGAAGCGCGGTGTGTCCGTTTACAACCACAGCCCTGCAAATTGCAAAGAGACTCTCCTACAGGTTAAAAGTCTACATGTGTTTCCTCAATCACCTGAGATTGGGCTCGTTTGTCTCCAACAGCAAAACGGCATCGAACCTTTCTTCTAGAAGCATGTGAACCAACGTTGGTTGTTGATTTGGGTACCTGGCAGGCCCTATCTCGAAAACTTTTCAACACAAATGACCACCGTATCATTCGCGGCTTTCTGCACCATCCATCTTGTTCCCAAGGTTCTGTTCCGCCTGTTGTCTTTGCTTCTCTGGCCTGCCCCTGCGCTTGGAAGAGGATACTCCTTTGTGCAGGCATACTAAATGAGGGGATCCGGGCATCGTCTGCAGCCCGTTGCCTGGCCGAGAGGAGCAAGCTGAGATGGTCCATTGCGTGGTGGTGCTGGCGGCGCCAAAAGCTTCACAACCGACCTGAGTACAGAACACACAGGGCAGCTCTGCAAAAAAGAACCGTTGGGGCCGACAGCATGGTTCCTGCCTTGCAGCACTTACAAGATTCACGTTTCTGCTGCCAGGCTACAGGTGAGAGAGCTCCGGGGCCTGCCTTGGTGTCGACAATCTGACTAATTTCTATGCAGCCAGACCTTGTGGATGCTCCCGACAATCTGTGCTAAGGAGTGCGGCAGTGCCAGGAGGAACAACTCAGCTACGTGTCAAAGACCGTGTGCTTTCGAAGGAGCCCTGGGATCTCCGCGTCCGGCAGCGGCGCCGAGGTGTCGGCCTGCACATGCCAATAGTCCTTTAGGTGCCTGTGTATGCTTACAGCTCGTTCTACTACTATTTTTCGCCATTATTTCATCATTACTACTATAGCTATTAGTCTTATGTCTACTGGTAGCAGTAGTCGTAGAAGTCGTAGTAGTCGTCGTCGTCGTGGTGGTGGCATTAGAATCCGCCGAGGCCTGAGGCCTCCTCCCTGTGGTCCAAAAGTTTGGACACACCCTGTTTTTGCGTTCGTTTGCCACCTTCCCTTCATTTTGCCTGATTTGTAGGCCTCCTCCCCCACCCCTCCTCCGCACTCCCCCTCCCACCTCTCCCCCCCATCCCTCCCCCCTCCCCACCCTCTCCCCCCCGCGGGACCACAGGTTGGTGTTGAGAAGCCACCCTAGCATGGTGTATACGACATCCACTGCCCCCTCGCCCTGCCGCTAAAGAGCCGAGGCGGGCGGCGTAGCGTTAAAATTAGCATCAGTAGGGGTTTGTAGATT